ACCCCCGTCACCTAATTCCAGCACCAATACTCCTAACTTTACTACGAAAGACAGACGACCGTCGATAATACGACACGTGTTTCGCCTCTACACGAGGCATTCTCAGGTAAAATTTCACTGCTCTTGGAAGGTGCTTTTCAAACTAGGTAAGCAACATCATTTTATTTATTCGGATGCACGGATCTTAGATTATTTGGTTTTAAGCATTTTTAATATAATAGATTTGTAATTAATATAATAATATATGTTATAGAATTGTAAAGTAATTAATAATTATGTAATAAGTGATACTACTCTAAGTGACACATGAATAATATCTAATCACCATCATCGTCATTGCATCATTGCAGCCTCTCACGAGCTCACTCCTGAACATAGCCTCACAAAAGTATTGCCATTAAACACTGTTTGAACTATCTGTATTCATCTGCTACAATTTTCCTTAGTAAACGAAACGCTCACAATTTGAAGTCTTTAAAAAAATGTTTATAGGACATTATTAGATATTGTTTTCTTTTTCAGTTGATGAAATTTATTATTCAAAAGTTTTTATTTTAAATATCGTATATTTCATTCTGTTTATTAAACATATTTTATGCTCACTTCCCTTTTTCAACACATTCTAATTTAAAAGGAACGAAAATTATTATTTTATAAAAAACTAAATCCAACTTCAAGAAATTTTAAAGATCTAATGATATTTACATACATTCCCGGTGCTTTTACCGTAGCAGTATACAATTCAGTGTATAGAAGAATTTAAGACCCGACGTCAGAAGCTATTTATTATATATTTCATTATATTATATATTATATTTAAATTGTTTTATTGTTTGTGTTTCTTGAAGTAGACTTTTATTTTGTATTAAAAGAATAATTTTAAATTAATAAGATGTTCTTATACAAAATTTGTTCAAAAAACGTTTTAAGCGATAAATTGTCCAGTTTGTACATTCAAACAGTTCCAAGAAAATTACACGGATATGAAGAATGGGTAGGAAAGTTAGTCAGCAATATATATTGAGTTAAAACTCGAGTCAACATCAAAAAATAAAGTATTTAGAGGGCAAATGAAGTCCAACAACACGCATTGAGGTAGCGCGGCGAACACTTCCTTGCCCTAAAACCCTCTTAGAAGTGAAAAGAGAAATGTGTCTAGCAGTGGAACGTATTAGGCTGTAACTTTTACGTTTTAACTTTACTTGACTGAAACTAGAGCCAAGGTAGATCGCTTTGAAATTCACAAAACACGAGAAACATGTATTTGTTCCGCCAGCATCAAAAATTGTTAAATATAATTTTAGGATCTGTTTTACCAAGTGCGAAAGTGGTGAAGGAAAACATCGTGACGAGGAACCTTTTTTCTTAAGATTAAAATATTTTGAAGAAAGTAGTACATAAATCACATAGGAGCGTAGTAGTTTAATTACGCCAAGATCCCTATCCGATATATTAAAAATAATTTTTGTTTGTTCGTATTTTATGCGTCCTACCGTTCATTAGCTTGCGGTAAGACTTTGTCAACATATCTTGTACTTTCCTGTTAGGCATAGTTGAAACCGGTAGGTGGCGCTGTTGTAGATTCCAGATAGTTTAATATAAAATTAAAACAAATAGTGTTGACGCACAGAGTAGTAATTCTAAGACAAAGCACAACAAAACACTCTATAAAACAAAAAAATCTATACTTAATAAAAAACATTCCTTTCAAAATCATTTCAGAATATAGTCTTATGTACATATTTATACATATATAATAAAATTGAATTTTCTGTCTGTAATATTGAAATAACTGGCTTCTATTAAGCTCGGGGGGTTATTTGAACGATATTTAAACATAAAAAACCATTTTAAAAATGTTTGACTGTCTGTTTATCAGGGCTAAATTCGAAATGGCTGAACCGATTGTGATGAAACTTTACGCAGAGATAGAGAGCTATAGCAGATGCGAAGAACAAAAAGTTAAAAAAAGAAAACAAAAAATCGTTACAATACAATGGTAGAGCCACGCTGCAGCTATATTACAGTTCTAGCATGAAAGGGTCGGCTCGCCCGGGAAAAGACCACGCCCTCACAGAATACCAGCGTAAAATAGCAGCTTGATGCTGCTGTGTTTCGTATGGCGAGTGTAGAGAACCGGAGACCCGTTTTACTGGGATCGACGCATTCCATCTTAGTCGTCAGGGTAGACAACGCATTTTGATTCTTAATCGAGGTTAAATGCAGATGTCTATGGGCCACGGCATCCACTTACCATCAGATGGACTGTGTGCTCGTTTATCACCCTAATTTTATATAAAAAATGGTCTTTGATTATTTTAAATCTAAATGACGTCAAACAAAAAGATCTTATCGGCGCGAATTTGAAAGGGGGTCGTTAGACATCTGAAGATTATAATCTGCTGTGACGGGCGTTTAGACAACTCGCTAACACTACACTCGTGATATGACGGTAGATTACGAATCAAACTTTCATCATCATCATCATCATCATTCTCCTTTATATACGGCCGAGTCCTAAGACAGAAAGAAGGTGTTGTCAAAAGGCAAATAACACTTATGTCTTAGTAAGTGAGAAATCTGTAGTCAGAAAATAAGTTGAGTAGAAAGGAAGATGATCCTGTTCGTTTAGAGAGTGGTATGACGGACGTTGTGGCCAGACGAGATCTCAATCGCGACAGATACAAATAGTCTCAGGTCTGTCACACACACACACACACACACACACACACACACATATATATATATCATATATATATATATATATATATACACCAAGTATTACAAATATCAATAGGACCACGGTTGGAACTCGCTGTACCCCTCTAAATTGCGTGTACATTATGCTTAAGACTGGGCAGTTCTTACCATCCAGAACATCTACCGTTACAGGTTGAGCTATTAGAGCCGAGTCCAGCTCACGACAGAAATAGAAACTTTTTCATTCAATATAGATTATAAATAATACTTAGATTATAATTAATACTTCTTGAAAGTCACTTTTTTAAATTACCACCGGTTCAGAAAAAACTTTCGTCCTGGGAAGAACCAGCAAGAAACCTAGCGAAACTATTTTTTTAAATAACAGCTTACAATCATGTTTACAATTAACAACACAAAACAAATTAGAAATAGCTTTGTAGCGATCACGTTTCCCACCCAACCAACCTCTGGCTTAGTATCATCTATAAATTCTTTAATATGTAGTATAATAGCCCTTTTTATACAAACTTAGTTTAATAAAGTTTTGAACTTTGTGCAGATCAAATTTTGTATATTTTTACGTTTAAGACGTAATTGTTGTATCATTATATAACCGTCACGTCTAAAGTCTTCGGTTCACTATAGTCACCTTACGAAACAGTAGCATTAAGCTACTATGTTATGTTGGTATTCTGTGAGAGTGTACTCTTAACTTGGTTGAGCCGATTCATTTGTGCTACAACCATAATATACATGCAGCGTGGCTGTGTTATGTATACTGTTACGGTCTACTTAAGTTCACTGCTGAACATGGGATTCCCCTATAGATTGCCGCTAATATATATACCATAGTTGCCATTCGTAGTTTATTTTTATTTTTAGTCATTATAAGGAAGACTATTACGTATAAAGACTAATATTTTGAGGGGAATAATTTTAGTTATTGGTCGGTGTGATGTGCAGGCTGGAGGTGCGCGAGAAGGCGCCTGGTAGTGTTTATTGAATTACCCGTTAGTTATCATCAGTCATCATCATCATTTAGTCAGCTTTTCTTATATAGCTACCATTCTTTCGTGAACTCCGAGTCCGATGATGTTGTAAAAACCAACTGCCTAACAGCACGTACATTGACGGATAACTTATTAAAGAATTGAAATAGAGCGAGAGATATTACAGAAAATAGAGAGTACACCACCTTATGACAAGAAAGCAGGTAACACAACCTCAAAACCTGGACGAGTTTTAGTCTCTTTGCATCTTCTGTCGTATCTACGATGGGTAGTGCTCTGGGGAATTGTTTGGATTAATTCCAGCCGTCGAATTTCACGAACGCACATAGCGTCCACACCACCTGAATGCTTCGCGGTCCATTACTGTACGTTTCACTAGGAGTTTTCTTCCGCGTACGACCTCTCTGTGGAGTATTTCACCACCGACGATTTTTTCGGACCGATAAGACTTAGGTAAAGAGCTTACTCCTTTTTAAAAGGCCGGCAACGCACCTAAATTCCCCTGGTGTTGCAGTTTTTCATGCGCAGCGGTAGCCAATTTCTATCTGGTGAGCCGCATGTTCGTCCCCCCCCCTACTATAAAAAAACATTCATTGTCTATAGCTTTATAATACAGTATTAGTCGAATTTGTGACCAGGATTAAGAAAGGAATGCTTCGGTGGTTTGGTCATGTAGAAAGAATGAATGAGGAAATAGTGACAAAGCAAATTTATATGGCAGAACGTGAACGGCCGAGTCGGGAAGGGACGCCCTAGAAAAAAGTTTATCGACCAAATTGGCGATATTTTGAAAATGGGCCACGTTAGAAGTACCCTTAACCGACGAGCATGTATGCGTAGATATATGGATGTAAAGGAGGCGAAAGAGGTATGTCAGGATCGTGCCAAATGGAAGTCCGTAGTCTCTGCCTACCCCTCTGGGTACACGTATATATATATATATATATATATATATATATATATATATATATATATATATATATATATATATATATATATATATATTAGTCGAATAATGTTTTAATTAGATAGTTGCGCTTACAGGGGGATATCGGGTGTGGAACGGAGAGCGGTAAAAGCAGTCACAAAGTATACGCACACAATTTTTAGAGAAACGACGTATTTTGTCTGTCGGAGCGTTAAAATGAATTAGCCAAAAAAATTAGTTTATCTACTAACAAAAGACTTTGTGAAGCCTAGTTTATTTTAACCTTCCTATTAGAAGTCAGGATAAAACATGGGCGCCACATTTCTATAATCTAAATATAATGTATCCTTTCGTTCCAGTCCCCACGTGTGCCGGAGCCGCAACAGCACGCACTGCTGCCCAGGCTGGACTTCGAGGCCCAACTCATTACTTTGTGTAGTCCGTGAGTATTGCTAAAATTATCCAAAGCTAATGAAAATTTATTGTAAACTGGTGTAAAATTAAACGGCTATCGACGTACACGAATAATTTATCGAGATAATAGACACGATTCTGTATCACAGTTGCTTTGAGAAGATGTCGTGATCATTATCATGACAGTATATCAAAGGTCTATGGCTCTATGGGTCTATGACATCGGACTTTGAGAGTGAGGGAATAGAGAGTGCACATGTGCTTGCTTTGGCACTATAATCCTGTCCTGCGCCAATGACTAGTTTCGGTTGAGTCTGGCCGTCGTTGTCGAAATTTGATCTGGAGGACATTATTATTATTAAGGTTATCATAGGGTTTGATCCCCGCCAGCACCAACGAAATTGTTAATGGCAATTTTAAATACTGGTTTACAACGTGCTCGACGATGAAGGAAAACATCGTGAGAAAATCTGCATGTTTATAAATTAAGGACAAATATTTCAAAAACGTGTAAAGTTTGCGAACACGCATTGGGACAGTGCAACGGACATTTCCTTGCAGTAAAACCCTCTCAAAAATGACAGGCGGCATGTAGTGTGACGTATATTGCCTGTAACTTTACTTTAAATTTACTTTAATCAAAAACCTGAGTGGTTAAGTATGCTTATTACAGCATATCAAAAGTTCATTGCTGAAAATAGACTTCACCCATAGATTTCTTCTTAGGTGGGATTTCGGTATAGTTGCCAACACAATAGGTGGGTTGTAAATCGCATTTTTTTTATAGTTTTGAGTTGTTATCAAGAATATACTGCTACCTATAGTCTGATTTGAGTCGCTCTGTCACTTGTTATGACACACACGGAACGTTAGGGTAGCAGATATTCTTACACCGCCACTACACGGTTAAGTAAGACGGATTACTTTAAATTTATAACAATCAATGAATCGAATAATTAGGCAGGCAAGCCTCGTACATGTAGGCGAAGTGTAGGGTGACAACATGGTAAGAGATGCAGGAAGCCGATTGATACAGTTGGCCCAGGACCGTGCTTTGTGGCATTCCCTGGGCCTATGTTAAGCACCGGACTTGAGACGGACTATAGCGATGATGATGATGATGAATCAATTCTTTAAACTGAGTGGTTAATTACACAAAACATCAATAGAAACATTATGTTAAACATTAAATTTAATTACTGAATAGCGTTGCTTTCTTCATTAATAAATTTACGAGCGCAATCATAACATCCTGTAATAAATCAAATGCATCGTTATAAATATAACAAAAACAAGCGTACCGTTTAATGGGTTAATCTTTAAACTCAGTCTATGTTTGTAAAACTAAGTCATAGGTTAGAGCGTAAAGATCCATTTATAATATATATTGATAAACACATTATAGTGATAAGAACTAAGGGAAGGAATCTAGTTCCTGAAATACAAGTAAAATATCCTAGTTTAGGGGTCGTAGACCACTGGAAATTCTTATGCATGTAATATGTTTATTAATAAAGATTATTATTATTATTTATACAAAGCTCTCATTACAAAATAATTTCTCAGCAGTGTCATGACAAGCATAAGCTTGTTTGAACTATATGCGGTGATACTGGAAATCAAATATTTGTAATGGCGGTGTAAGAATATACTCTAGCCAATGTCAGCCGCAAGAATGTGGCGTAAGAAGCGACACAGAGAAACTGAATCAAGAGATGGGCAGAGGCATCTTCCTGATCACAAATTTTAAGAAATTGTGGTTGCCAACCCAACTAACAAACGTGGCATGCTTTGCGAAATCCACCCTGAGGGGCGATCCTGAGGGTTAGCAGTAGACTTTAAAGGCTGAAATAGATGGATGGATGGGAGAGGTGACCAACTATACCTAGTATAGTCTGTTCGCTAAGATACGATCGCCTTCGTATCGTGCCGTCTTGGCACGTGCAGCAATTGTCTAACGTGTGGCGTACACCTGCAGGAGAATTCGGCATTTTAAAATGAACGCATTAGTGAAAGTTTCTTTGCTACAAACTTGAATTTATTATTTATATTCGTATTTTATTACAATAACTATAATAATAAAATAGTATTCTATTTTATCCTTATAATATAAAATATTTATCATATAAACGCGGTAAAAATAATAAAATAAATGCAAAATAATAAGTGCGCCTCCCGGTGTACCGACAATGTCTTAGCAAACAGACTATACATAGTATTATTCCATAAAAATTAGTATAAGAAATCAAAACTAGTGTGTTACTTTAATTATTAGAGATCACAACATTCATTATCTACAGCTGAGTAACAGAAATTGCTCAAAAATAAGTTACATAAGACGATAGTGAAAGAAGTAGAAAAGTTAGTAAAACATTAATAATCAGTAACAAAATTAAAAAGAAACTATTCAAAATAAAAATTGATATAGTGAAATTGTTATTTACAATTTTAACGTATTTAACGGTGAAGGAAAATATTGTGTCAGTGAAAGGCACTAACGCGCATTGGGGCAAAGCGGTGGATGCTTCCTTACCTGTTAGAAATCAGAGAAGGCGTCCTCTGTTTTCTGGAGTGGGACGGGATCACAGCAAAAAATCCAAATACTATTTGTAAGCTCTGTCTCGCCAGCAACACAAAGTCAGTAATTAGCATTTAGAAAATTAGGAGCTTTTTAGGTGCTAATTAGGTGCCAAGTTTAAAAATTAGGTGCTCTAAAATTTTCATCGCAACGAGCTGTTGAAATTTGCATTGCTAGCAAAACGTATCGCTAGTAACGTAGTGACGACAATAGATATATGATAAATATTATTGGCAAAGAACTAAGTGCTAATTAAGTGCTGAAATATTATTGAGGTCGGATGTAGATGACGGTAATATTTTGGGAATTATCGGGTCCAGGACTATCATTACCTTACTATAAGGTATGAACGGCATTTTTTTTCTTTTTCAGTTATATATTATAGATAAGATAGGTCAAATCTGTATTAAAACCGAATCAGAACGCCCCAATTCCAAGTAGTCTTGTCTACTCTACCCCTAGAGCATTTTTGTAAAGCTGTAGGCGTGGTGGGAGAGTATCCCCCGTCCGCTGTCACAAATTGCAGGCATCTTTGCGAGCCATAGCAACCTGTAATTTGCTACGTAAGGGCGAAGGGGCTGCACTTCACGCTTGGTCATTGCCTATACTTGCAGCACTTAACACTTAATTGTCATTTATTTTTCGTATATCTATTATAAACAGTGGGTTGATAGCAATTAGTTTTGCTAGCAACGCAAAACGTTTGTTGTGGTGAAAATTTTAGAGCACCTAATTCTTAAATTATACATTCCTGACTTTGGATTGCTGGCGTGACAAAACTCAATTAGTAGTCCAGCCATATAAATTTTAATTTGATTTAGTATTGCTTACAAATACTGTAGGAAAATCACTTTTCAGTATCCGCACTACGATATAGTCGTTACTTAGTCGACAAACTAAAGATATAGCCGAACTTAAAGGTTTTACGTGGTAAAGTTTAAAGAAATGTTATTCATTTTTGTAAATTATTCTTTTCAGTTTCGACTTAATAACAAAATTAAGTATTTTGACATAATTTATCGAATTATTAATTACCTATTAATTATGTGTTCATTAATAGATTGATAAGCCAGGATTGAGTAGTTTACTTCAGGTTAATGACCCATTTTTATGATTATTTTAACGCAGACTATATCTCGAGGGTGTGGTCTCTTTAATTTATTTTGAGGAAATTTGTGCCTCTAAGACTGGGAAAATAGTGGATGTCCTTTTTAAATGTAACTATACTAAATACTAATCAGAGTTATTGTTTAATCCACTTAAATGGGATGATATAATAAAACTTGAAAAAAGTACCAACTTTAAAAATTGAGAAAAATAAAATAATTTCAACATAATTTTGTTGTTTTTGTAACTTAAAGGTCCCGTGTTTATGTGGACCTCATTACAAAAAGAATGCAATCAACTGTTTTACTTGGCTAAGATGTCGTAAAAGACGATTCAGAATACCGCACCAAGTTCAAAAGGTCTCCAATCCGCCTTCGTCAGAATACTCATATTCTTTCTGCTTTTATTCTCTACTGCGTTTAATTTAATATATCTAGCCCACACCATCTAAAACAAAGTGTTCAATTTCTCAGCTTCTCTCATAGCCTTTACCTTCGGTCCAGAGAAACCTTTTTCTTCTATAATAACGTCTTACGTTGACGCGAATACTATACATTTAAATTGAAATTAAGTTTCATATGAAATTTCCGAACTTTCGAGTACTTTAAAGTACCCATGGTCATGGGGGTGGGGACGACGGGGACACTGACGTGTTTGTCGTCGCAATGTCGTCGTTAACCACATTTTATTAAGTTTTATTATTTGACCATTTTAAAACGACTAAGCAATAACACAAGCTCAAGGATCAACTAAACGTCAGTTAAATTAAAAATTTCATCTCTTATTTTTTCACGCTCTCAGCGTACATGGGTACAAATTTCTTCAAATTTTAATGGTGAGTGAGAGTCGAGATACCTTTGTAGCCTCTAATAAAAAATAAGCACTAAAACAAGTTCACAATCAGCAAAGATGATGCGTAAAATACAATAAAGTCCTAATTGAGAACCTTTCTATTTTTAAAGTCAGTTGAAAACACATACAGAACGGGAAACGTTGAGTAAAACAGCCTACATTTTTATAGCGAAAATAAAGGGGAATTCATCCCAGTGTGCTAGAAATGTTTACTGAACCAATGAATACTGTTGTGCGCTATAATTAATGACTGGTACATGGTGAGTTACCACTAGTGCCATCTAGTATCGAGTAGCAGAATTAGGAGAGTCAAGATCCTTTTAGAGATTTCCATGTCAGTCTTTATTGTCACGAACTCCAAGCTCGTAACAATACTTACACTACTACGCTAATATTTTTAAACATATTCGATATTGCGTTAATTTCATCTTAAAACACAAAATGTTTATATTACATTTCAAAATGGTTATTTGTAGTGCTTTTTATAGAGGTAAGTGTGACAAACGTGCACACAGTCCACTTTAAAGTAAGTAAATGTCGTGGTCCATGGATGTCTACATCTATCCTGGAATAAAATTAAATGCTGCCCGTCTAGGTAGGAAAACACAAATGCGATGTCACCCTATAAATTAAGATGAAATGCAGCACTGCGGGGCATCGCGCCGATTTGAATCTCACACGGAACAAATATTTGTATGACTTACATGTAATTATTTCGGGTCTGGATGTTTTGCTATGTGCTATTTATGTATCTCAACTGCTTTCACGATACAGGAGAAAATTCTAATGGGGGTACTCGTAACGTTTTAATAAGAAAAGAGAAAAAAGAGTGGAAACGATTAATAAGTCAAATTGTTTTTTTTTTCAGCAATATGTCGACCGGACTGCGGCTCGCCAGGCTCATGTGTGGCGCCCAATATGTGCCGGTGCCCCAATGGCATAGAAGCGCCTTCTTGTGGCAATGGTGGAGGATTCTATCCCTATTCCGGTGAGATGTGAAGTTTCAATTCTAATAAATTTATTACCTTGCAGGAAAATAATAAATCTGTAGCAAAAAGAGATCCGACACGTCTACTTATGCCATCTTGTAGAACTACATTATTCCACAGGAATTGTCTCATAATGTGTATCAAGGTTTATAATAAAGTTCCTAAAAATATTCGTGAACAGACATTTAGGCGAATGAAAAGAGTTTAAAGCAGTGGCTAATAAATACTGCCTACTAAGTAAATTACTATAGATCTTCTGGATCTATAGTAATTTACAGTAGATCTTCTGGATCTATAGTAATTTACTTAGTTAAGTAAAATCAATGAAAAATAAAATCAAAATTTATGGTTAAAGAATTCATCGATATATAAAAATATTATTTAATACAGTTGCTCAAAATGTGGTTCCCAACTGTCAAAATAATGTCTAAAGAAAAAACCAACCACGAAGTTTTTACTAAAAATATCATAGAAGTTTTTACGATTCATGCAAATATATCTAAAAAGAAGCTACTAATTTGTTTCAATATCAGATTTCATGATTTGATTCAATGAGTTCGGTTAGGTTTCATTAAATTTCATTTTCATTTCATATCAATAAAAAAATTCTATTGAAGACATGGCTGTATGGGCATAGTTCCCTTTGCCTACCCAGAGTGGGTGAAGAAAACAAAAAATCTCTGCTCATATTTTACGGTTGGCGCCATTTTCTAAAAATGTTCTTTGCGAGTTTTGTTGTTTGTTGCACAAAATGAGTAATTTCGACGATATTTTATTTGAATTAACACCACCAGAACTCGGTATAATTGCACAAAATGCTTCGGAGAAAATTTTACCGGAAAAGTAAAAAAGTCGCTACATACGACGAATTTATTGCTTGGAGAGAAGAGAAAGCAAATAGTTTTTCAGAAAATGTTAGTTGGCATACTTTTCCGAACTCTCAGCAAAATTATGTTCGAGGTTTTCGATGATAAAAAGTATGTTGAAAATAAGGAACAACCTGGATATAAATAAATATTAAAATCGAATGAAGTGGAAAGGTTTTGAACGAAGCTCCCGATGATTGTTATTTAGCCAAAGGTAATTTATTAATAAATATTTGTATTTTTCTTTAGTATTCAGTTTACGAAACCGCAAACTACATTCAATATATTATTTAGAAAAATATTAAACAAATCCCTTTTGCGTTGATTTTTGACGTTGTTGGAGCTTGCGGCAGAGAGGAGTTAGCCAATATTACTTTAAAAGATGTTGAAGCCCATGGAAAAATGCTACTAATCAAGATTCCAACCAATACAAAAAATACGATACCGAGACGCTTTGTTGTTGGAGGATTTTCTTAGAATTTTTTCCATAATTATCAAAAAGGGAAGTGTATAACTCAAGCAATCGGGATAAACAAATTTGGTAATATGCCAAAAGAAATAGCTACGTTTCTTGGTGTGCCGGATGCTGAGTATTATACTGGGTACAGCTTTAGGAGGACCTCTGCTACATTATTGGCAGATTCAGAAGTCAATTTGACGTTCTTAAAGCGACTAGGAGGTGGGAAGTCAGACAAAGTTGCAGAAGGCTATATTGCTGATTGATGAAACAACAAACTAGAAATTGGGAAAAACATTGGTGTGAGTTTCGACAAATGTCTACCCGAGCCGAGGCACAGCCGATGACCCTCCCTTCGACAGACATTTGTCGGAACTCTTTGCAATTACAGGCTTTCTGCACTCGTAATGAAATATACTATTTTCTAATTTTGTTATGTTTTCCGAAAAACATAAATATAATCATTACAGTGCTTATTTCAAATTTTTTTATTTTAATTTTATTTATTTGTTTTCAACATACTTATTTCAAACAATTTTTTCGCATGCCACAAAAGGCAAAATATGTGGAAACAAATGTTAACTCTGTATCCATCCATCTGTACCCATGTTTTTAGCAAAATAAATGATTTGATTTGATTAAAAGGAAATATTTAATGGACATTTAAAATCTGTCAACACATATTGGAACAGACTGTTTTTTGTCCTTTAAGCCCTCTCAGCTTCTATTTTTTATTTTAATCAACTTACATTTACTAAGTAAATTAGTATACATGTACCGCTATCAGAAGAAAAAAAGATACTTCTACATTTAAAAATTCAAGTTATATTATTTTACATAAATCCAAATGCTGCTATTTACTATATAAATACTTTACGTTATTAATTATTTCTAAAAATATTTAACGAATTGCTTTGCATTGTAGCAAAGTGCCATTTTTACTTATAATATTAAATTTTACTAGTATGTGTATGATTTCGTTTCATATAGGTTATATTTTCTGTTCATTTTATGTCTTTGATAAGAGCAACGCACACCACATTTTATCTGTGTCATTTTTATTAACAGCAAGAACACGAGGGGGGTGTCGCCGCATATGTATGAACGGTGGTACATGCACAAATGGGTCTTGTGCTTGTGCACCTGGATGGAGTGGGGAGTTCTGTACTGAACGTGAGTAAAATTAATTTAAACGTATCTTATTCCTTTCTACATCATATAATAAACCAGTGCTTGATTACTTTTTTTACACTTGTGCCGTATAGTGTCAGTGTAAGAATATCCACTACCCCATATCATTCCGTGGGTGAGAGCGAAATTGGAACAGAAGATGGGCAGCAGCATCTTCATAATACCAAATCAAAATAAAATAATAACTGCGGTTTCCAACCCACTTGCCAAGCATGGCAACGATGGCAAAATCCCCCTTTTGAAATAATCTATGGGGGAGGCCTCTGTTCAGCAGTGTACTTTTACTTTTATATTCTATAGCGAATAGTGAATGCTTGTTTACTACTATCCTACTCAATAATCACAGAAATCGAAGCCTTTTCACTCTTGACATGGAGGCACTAAGGCACAATAATCGGCAGACAATTTGACAATCAGACACTTATGATGTTTACTGCGCAGATCCTTCCTGCTGATTTGTATATAAGCACCCTCGCGCCACATTAAAAATAATAATATCCTCCCTGATCACAGATGCCAGTCTCCACGGAGACTAGCAGGACAGTATTATTGGGCCCGAGTATTTGCGCAAGCACAGTGCACTCTCTATTACCTCACTCTCATATTCCGATGCGACGGTAAACCGACATAACTGAAGAAAGATCAGGCGCAGGACCAATGTCTTTACGTGCTTTCCCAAGCACGTGGAAAAACACTGTCAATTTCCTGACTCCGGGCTGCTACTGAGATTTCTTAACAGAAAAAACTGATTTTAACCCGACCATTTAACCGACCGAGGATTTGAACCCAGGAGCTCAAGATCACTAGACCAACGAGGCAGTTAGAATTGTACGTTGGCTAAGACATATATACTTTCAAGATAAGATAAAGATAAAGATATTTTATTTTGGAAATATGGGTACAGTACATGGAAATATATGTAGTGAGTTCAGCCATATTTTAGTAGTAGGCCTGCAAAATATACAGAAATATAAACTAATCACCAAAACAGCTACAACAAAATACAATGATAACACAAAAACAAACATAATTCAAATTAACATTATACAGTCTTAATCTCAAAAAAAAATTTCTGTCAAGAATTCTGTTACGCTATAAGTAGTATGCTTTGACTGTCAAGAAGCTATGAAGCCTTTTTTAAATATCGATAGCGGCCATTCTTTCCAACTTTTTGGTATTTAATCATATATGACTGGAGCCATGCAGTATATACTTTTGCGCATTAGTGCTGTCTTAGCGGATTGATGACACAAAAGGGTATTGTCGCGTCTATTACGTGGAACTACTTGGTCAAGGCGTTTAAAACGTTTTGGATGCAATTTAACAAACACTGCTACTTCTAGTATGTATAAACAAGGTAATGTCAGTATTTTTATACTGTTTCAGCAGCTTTTATGTTTATTATGTGGAAGTAATAGTTTCGTTCCTTGAAGTCTGCTTTAACATTTTAATAAAAGTCTAATTTTGTGACCTTTTCGAGTGGAATAAAATATATCAAAAGCTCAAATGTAGTCTAAAAACTTTTATATTAGATTAAAAACTTTTCCCCTATTTTCCACCCTTTTTTACAAGAGAGGGGGCTATTGGGCATACAGCTCACCTGATGGTGAGTGACTATTACTGGCTTTATTCAAATTTATATGAGACCAACACTAAACTGTAACCTGTTTAATTAAAAATAATTATTGCAATCAGTTCACAATTGACGTAGGTACAGTCGAATTTAGAACCTCGTCTTTTTTAAAACTCTGTTTGAAACAACTATATTTAAACCTACAACCTTCTTTTAAACCGCATTTGAACCCCGTCAGCACCAATGATAGTGTTAATTCCAGTTTCAAGTGCTGATTTAACAGGTGCCCGCCCGGTGGTCAAGGAAACCTGCAGATCTGAGAAATTAAAAAATAATAATAATTCGAAAACGTGATGGGCAAGCGCGGCGGACATTTCCTTACTTTAAAACCCTCCTAAGAATGAGACGGAACTTGTGTACATTATAGCGTGTCGAATATAGGCTGTAACATTACTTTACTTTTTTACTTTTTTAGTTTACCGATATATATATCGGTATATCGGTATATCGGATAGCAGGTTCTAATAATGTTCTCTTGTATTGTGTATGTTAAAATCTTTATTTTAAACTCAAAAACAAATACTTAAAAAGATTTTAAAGTTATATACGTTTGGCCAGTCTCCACCCTGTCGTTGTTGACTTACCACGCATTCGATCCAAACGCTACATTTGCTACGTTTGCTACGTCGTTCGTCATGCGTACAGCAAAGGAGTGGAATAAGTTGTCAGCATCTGTCTTTCCATCCGATTACAATGTAGGTGTCTTCAAAGCAAGAGTGAATAGGTTTTTGTCAAGTCAGTGCGCTTTACCATCTTAGGCCATACACTTACCACCAGGTATTACATACAGGATTGTAGCTAAGCGCTGGTTTAGAATAGTAATAAAAAATACGTCCATACAGTATTGAGATAACATTTGTCACACAGCGATCTGTCGCGAGCCGTGTCTTCATGGCGGCCGCTGCATCGCACCGGACAGGTGCGTGTGTTTCCACGGACTGTCCGGCACGAGGTGCGAGATTGACCGAAGAACAGGTGAGTGATCTGATGTAGAATGACTTTTGTTTGTTTTAAAATGAACTATACATATCCATACCGAGAAAAGCTGCGAATTCACAAATAAATATTATGTATTTATAAAGCAGATAAGTTGACACCCCTGAAGTAAAATGGAGTAAACGGGGTCTCACGTTCTAGTCACTTGCCATATGAAGCATATCAGCTTCATGTTGCTAAATACTGATGTTAATTTACGTTGGTATTTTGTTTAAGCATGATTATTTTCGGTCGAGAAGTTGCACATAAATTTTATCTCGGATTCAAGCATGTAATATAAGCTATGTTATGGTTGATAAGCACGGTTCCGTTCGACCCGGGAAGGACCATGATTTCACAGAATACGAGGGTAAAACAACAGCTTAATGCCGGAGACGCTTTTTTTGGATACGAGGCATTCTATCTAAGTCCTCAGGGGTGACAACGCATTAGCATTTTGATTTTTAATCGAGAATAAATCTCCGTCAGGTGGACTGTACGGTTATGGTGCTATTGATATTATACGAGATGATTATACCGTCAGACATGAGACAGAGTAAGCAAGAGTGACGAAACCTCTTGCGTCTCTAACTATATTATGTGGATCGCAGGGCCGTGCTACACGGAGACGCGTGGTGCGCTGTGCACGGGGGCATTGGAGGGTGTGGTGTGCACCAAACAGCTGTGCTGTGCCACCGTGGGTGTGGCCTGGGGCCACCCCTGCGAGCGCTGCGCTGATCTCGACTGCCCCACAGGGCACCTGCGCAACCTAGCCACCAAGGAGTGTCAGGTACCTCATGCCTCAGCAGTACCGTTTAATGCTGCTCAGAAGCATATTTATATTTGATATTGAAATAATATTATAAACATGAGATCTTTATTTTTTAATGGTCATTTATCGAAGACCCAAAGCTGAATAACACATTCCAGAAGGATGAACTGTGGTTGTTCAAGGCTTGTGCGCTTGCTGTAAGTGTCACAGCGCGCAAGCAACAGGGGTTCGATCCCCGTCGTCAAAAATAAAATTGTCAATTATAATTTGTGCTGATTTGCCACGTGCTCGACCGTGAAAGCAAACATCGTGAGGAAACCTTCTGTAGGTAATTAAGCATTTCACGAACATGTTCAACAAGTCCGCTAACAATCATTGGAACACCGCGGTAGATAAATTTCTCCATAACCCTCTCAGAAATGAAAGGCTTGTGCCTAGCAGTGAGAAGTACAAAAGCTATGACTTAACTTAAATTCTTACTTAAGCCAATAAGAAAGGTACTTTAACATAGTTTTTATCAACTAATTTTTACGTGGTAAAACTGCAGCTATATTATAGTTGTAGCACGAACGGTTCGGCTCGACCGGGAAGGACCACGCTCTCACATAATACCAGCGTAAAATAGCAACTTAATGCTGCTGTGTTTCGTATGGTGAGTGTAGAGAACTGGAGACCTTTTTTAGTGGAATCGAGGCATTCCATCTTAGTCCTCAGGGGTGACAGTGCATTTGCATTTTGATTCTTAATTGTGGATAAATGTGGATGTCTGTGGGCTATAGCACCCACTTACTATCAGGTGGACTGTGTGCTCGTTTGTCAATGCTGTAAAAAACTAGTAGTTGACATAAATGTTAATCGAAATTAATAACTGAATTGAATGAATGATTCTTCGCACTTTGAATGTGATTTCAAAAATATTATTGCGCTTTGTTGTTTTCTAATCAATATAAGAATGTTTTATCAACTTCTATTCCAGGATATAGACGAATGTGCCGCCGTGCCGGGTCTCTGTGAAGGAGGACGTTGCATTAATTCCATTGGATCATTCTCTTGCGAATGTCCGCCGGGACAAAGAAGGCACAGGGTCTCGAACAACTGCGAGGACATCGACGAATGCGAGGATCCTGATATTTGTCCGGTATGTTTCTTTTATTAGTTGTGTATCATTATGTGATCCTGATGATATACAGTCAAACCTGGGTAAGTGAGAACTGGATAAGTGAGAAAACTCTATAAGTGAGAGTTATAACCAGGACCAGTCATTTTAAGCTCCCAAAACCTCTATTAGCGAGAAACAGAAACCTTTGTAAGAGAGAGTCGTTTTTCCCTCATGGAACTCCGTAAGTGAGACTGCTATTTATCTATACCTCTATAAGTGACAGTCGAGCTTTATTTATTTATATTATTCAGGAGGAACTATAGCTACAATAAAAATACATATGTACATACATAAAAGTTACACACATACAGTAACAAATGACAAAACAAATTACAAATTTAACATCTGCTATTTTATGACTCAATGTTAACTTTCGTGGAACTTACTTCCTACCATTATTTTTGTATTGTTTTCTCGTCAATATTGTACCTATTCTATTTCGTGGAACTAAATAACGTTGTTATTTTATCGCATTCTTTTCTTCAAACGAAATTGACTTATTTTTTAAGAGTAAATAAGTTCTAAATAAAATAAAATTACATAGTGCATAAATTTTTGTTTTGTTTTCGTAAGCATCCTGATACCTTCCCTTATAAAGTACTTATATGTCGAAATCTAATGAACGTAAATATAAACACTAATATTTCTTATATTTACGCTTACATATTAAATACTTAATTTTTTCACTTTTTATCAATTTCTTTACCCGGGGGAGGGGGGGGGGTCACCATAAACAATAATTAAAGCTAAGGTACTCCGTTTAACAATGACATCGGGACGCGCATCTCAGCCCCCACCAGGGTGCTGGAAAGCGCCGAAACGTGGGAATAAAAAAAAAATAAAAAGTAAGAAAAAAAATAAACGCGATAAAATCCGTAAAAGTAGTTTTAATCATATAAACACTATTAAAAATATATATGTACATAATATATGTTGTGCATATTATTCACCTAATTTTATTATATTACGTACATATTTACTACATTCGTACTTGTTGTAACTTGTTATTGCTGCGTACAGGAGGGGTATATTATACTTATAGAAAGAAAGGCTACCCATACACTAACCCGAATTTCTCGAATTTTTAGCATTAGCGAGAAATTCGGGTTAGTGAGAAACCTCTATAAGTGAGAATGAGATTGTGCTCTCTTGAACACTCGCTTATCCAGGTTTGACTGTATTGTTATATGCCGCGTTTGTATAGTGTTCGTAGACGCGATTGCTGATCTAGAGGTCCCTTGTTCGAATCCAAGATCGGTACAAAGTCAGTTATTGGGATTTTATGTCAAGAAATTGTCAGTAGCAGGCCGGATTCAGGAAGATGATGATGTTTCATCCCCGTGTCTCGGAAAACACGTTAAGCCGTTGGACCTGCTCATCTCTCCCCGGTTGTGTCGTGTGGTCGTCCCATCGGACCACAAGAGTGAGGATATAGAGTACACCTGTGCTTGCGCATACACTTGGCACTATAATCCTGTCCTGCACTAGTTTCCGTCGAGACTGGCCGCCGTGACCGAAGTTTGATGGAGGACGTAAGGAAGGAATGGAGGAGGTTACTTTTATTATACACAATAAATCAATGAATGATATATAATTAATTGAATAAACTTTTACTAGCGAATTATGTAGATTCCATATAAAATTGAAAATAAAGATTATAATATGCTTTTTATTTTTAGAATGTTGTCTTAAAATGTATTTTGATATTTTGTTTGTAGGTATAATATATTTAAACACAAACATTTTAGAAATGAAAAAAATGTCTCAAAGACTCTATGTTGTAGTTAATATCTTCATATTTGTGTTAAATGTGTGTTCATAAAGGTAGTAATAAATATTTTTTGGTTTCAGAATGGAAAGTGCGTTAATACGGAGGGGGATTATTACTGTCTTTGTAACCCCCATTTCATACCAAGTCCGGACAAGAAGTTTTGTATTGGTAAGTGAAATTAATTTTAATGATAACTAGGTTTTTTTTAAACATTTATAAAGAAGCAATAATTAAAGAATAAGTGATAGTAATTTGATATTAAAGTTATCATGGCGTATTATATATATATATATATATATATATATATATATATATATATATATATATATATATATATATATAATTATATTCACAATATATATTGCATGTTATGGGACCCTAAAACTAACACTACTAACTAACTTATGTATTTTCATTTAGTAATTTCTTTTGTATACAAGAATACTCCACGTTAAATAAAATTAGTTTTACTGATTTTATCCTTGAGAATCAAGTAAATATTGTTTTGAATATTCTATGGCTTTACACTTTATTACGCTTAACTTATAGTTTTTTTATTGCTAACCATTGTAGGGTTACATACTTGAAAATAATAAAAATTAATTTCAAATTTTCTCAGAATATTGGAATTGAAAGGCATGAATGGTCTTTGCTAAATCTTCAAATACACTAATACGAGCTAGTTTATATAAGTTTGTAAATATACCAAAGCATATTTTCGAAATATGTTGTTGAAACAAAATACAAATAAACTTGTAAGGCGTGATTTAGGAGCCATTGTACCTATAATTGTAATGGAAATGGTCACTTTCAGACGGTCGCGTGAGCAGCTGCTACACGTACCTGAGCGAGACGGGCGAGTGTGGCGAGCGGCTCGGCGTGCCGCTGTCCAACCGCGACTGCTGCTGCGGTTACAACATGGGCCGCGCCTGGGGCGACCTGTGCACACCCTGTCCACCGCGCGGCTCCAGTGAGTCATCTTTTTTATATAGGATAGGGTGATAAACGAGCACACAGTCCACCTGATGGTAAGCGGTTTCTGTGGCCCATAGACATCTACATCTATCCTCACTTACGAATCAAAATGCAGATGCGTTGTCGCCCGTGAGGACTAAGATGGAATGCCTCGTTTCCAGTAAATAGGGTCTCCGGTTCTCTACACTCACCATACGAAACACAGCAGCATTAAGCTGCTATTTTACGCTGGTATTCTGTGAGAGCGTGGTCCTTCCCCGGTCGAGCCGACCCATTCGTGCTACAACTATAATACTAATATAACTGCAGCATGGCTCTACCACGTAAATGATCTACCTTCATAACACTTGTGGTGTCTCATGTTGTGCTTAGACTGCTTCTGTGTCTACAAAATTAGTCGCGCTTAGTGCGATCTCAGTGCCCAGTGCGAGTTCCACAAAAATATTCGAATTCACCATCACGGTAACCGAATTAACGTCGTAAGTATCGATAAGCGAAAACAAGCGTGTGCAAGTTACAATCGAAGTTTAGCCTTCGATTTGCGTGCACTTCCCGTCAATGGCGTTCGTTCTTTCTCTTATATTGGTAGCATATTTGCGTAATATTTTGTTAAGTGGTCTTAATATTAGTTTCTTATGTAATGTCATGTTTAGTTTGTAATAACTTTGTATAGATTTTATATATTTTTATTTGATATAAGTACTTCAATTTATAATTTTATGACAACATTCGTAGTATAACGGAGTTTATAATTTTTTCAGCTGAATGGACTCATCTTTGTGGTGGTGGCGTGATTCCACCTGATTGGCGACGAAATGATACAAGCGGTGGTGGAATCGGTAGTGGTAGTGAAACCGCCCAGCCTATTGCCAAGATCAATGAATGTATGCTAAGAGAAGGAATCTGCGGGCTCGGTGATTGCGTTGATAAGGATATTGGGTATGAAGATATTATGAATGATTTTGTGGTTTATTTTAATAACGTAACTGTTGTCTATAAATGTTCCCTTGGTTTTAGAGCCTTGTAGAATGTTTAGGGACAATGACAAGAAACCCTACGGTATGAATTTTGTCCCTTGGGAGAGGTAAAGCCCTAGTGTAAGATGCTCCTTGCGTAGACACTTTGAAAATCTCTCATCTCAGGGGTACTTTTATAACCGGGGTGGCATCAGACTAATTAATTGGCGCAGATGGGATGTGTATCTCTAAGAGATGACTACATATTTGTGCCATTTGCTGTAGGAAATATCTGTCAGTGAAGCCCTCGTGCGATGAAGTTTCTAAAGGAACTGTATCTGCGACTGATCATCGCTGCTAGTGATAAGAGGGCTGGTACTTTTCTCGCTCAAAGGCCAAGTATAGCCATTCAGTGAGGAAACGCAGCTAGCATTCTTGGCACGGTACCACGGGGAGAAGGACTACGATAATTGCATTTTTTCATTTTCTTATAGTTTTTTTAATATTTTATATATTTCAGTGTTATGTAAATAAATAATATAATTTCAATGATTACTTAACTGTAGTATTCTCGTGTATTGATATAAAACATTTTATTCTATTTTATTATAATTCTACTGCCTGTTATAGGTATATTTATATAGTATATTTACGAATCAGATCTTAAGTGGCAGTGTAAGAATATCCACTATCGCATGTCGTCCCGCGGGTGTCGTGAGAGGCGACAGAGGGAAACAAGCGATGAGATGCGCAGCAGTATCTTCCTAATAAAACTTAAAATAAATATAAAACAGCGGTTACCAACCCACACTGCTTTTGTGCTTTTCAAATATGTGTTTGTGACAAGTAAATTAAATATGTTCGATACATCCTATACCTTTAAACGAACAATTCTTGTATGTATATAATCGGAATCTCGGAAACGGCTACAATGATTTTCATAAAATTTAGTGTCCAGAGAGTTTCGGGGGCAATAAATCGATCTAGCTACGATTTATTTGTAGAAAATGTCGTTTTGTCCGTGTTTTCAGGCAATGAAAAACTGCTACAATATAATCGTAATAGCCCAAGTGGATATCGGGCCGTCGCGAAATCGTAATGCCGTGGTTCGCGTCCTGTGTACGGTCCGACATTTTTCCCTTTTTTTTTTTCAAGTTACCTCCTTTTGTGAGAAATCTATTATTTCGAGCCCTTTTTTAGTATTTTTTAAAAATACGAAAATTTTAATTAAACAAATTTTAATTGCACTCATGATTTTTTTATTTAAATAACCACTTGAGTTTTTCTATTATGTCAATAAATTCAAAAAATATTATTCATGTTTCATCAGTATGTAATTTGTATCTAAATATAAGTTCCAAAACGCACGATTTCCAAAAAAAAATACCGAGGAAAGCTGGGTCATCCAGGTAAATATAATAAAATATACAAGGAAATGTATCAGCAAACCTATACAATAGAGTCAGATAATTAACTTAACATGGACATTCCGTGATCCGTTTTGCAGCCCTATTAGCTTATAATGTAAATATACTAGAAATTCGTCAGATTAATTGTTTCGTTGCAAGGTTTATGCTAACATATTTGTATGTATGAAAACAGATACCAGTGCGAATGTTGGGACGGTGCGGAGGCAGCCGAACAAGATGGCAACCCGACTTGTATTGATATCGATGAATGCGCACTCGAATATTGTAAAGGTGGCACTTGCATCAACAAACCAGGGGGTTTCGAATGCAGGTAAGTTTTGTGGCTCTAGTATAAATTTTAATATTTGTTTTATATAAACTGTCTAGAACAAAATATGTTTAATTAAATATTTCCTTAAGACCTTTTGTTTTTCAAGATGTCCACCTGTAAATATTTCCTTAAGACCTTTTGTTTTTCAAGATGTCCACCTGGTTTCGATCCTGTTGAAAATGGACTAAGATGTAGTGACAAGAATGAATGTGAGATGACCAATGGCGGCATGTGTACAAATGGAGTATGTACTAACGTTGATGGAGGGTAAGTTATGTCGGTTTAATATAATACAATAGTACATAGGTTATAAGACAATACAAAAAATCGGTTTCGATAATGTCACCCCAATTAGAGTTATTGAAAATCTTTAACTTGGTAAAGTCACTGTACAGCTGCATTGTTATGGCTACGGTACGAAATAATATTACGGCTTGATCGTGAAAGGACCGCGCTCTCACAGTATACCAGTGTAAAATAGCAGTTTATACTACTGTGTTTCAAATGGTGAGTGTAGAGAACCAGATATATTTTTACTAGTAATTAGGCATTCTATCTTAGTCACTAGGGGTGACAATACAATAAAATTTTGTTTATTATTTGAGTATAGCTGTTGGTTATTATTGTTCACAGCATTTAATTAATGGCCTTTCAGCTTGGCCGTCACCCTTATTCTACAAAAAAAAATGCGTTCGGCGTTTGTGAAATTTACATGACCTCAAATAAGATAATGTGCCATAAATTACTTTTAGGTTTCCTCACGATGTTTCCTTCATTCTAGAGCACGTGGTAAATAAGCACTTAAAATTGCAATTGACAATTTTATTAGTGCCGCCGGGAATCAAACCCCAGACAAAATGGGTTATAGTATAATGTGTAATATACAATGGATGTTCGCACTCAATCCATAGGTGGAAAGTTCAAATTCGGCTCGAAGGACCATTACATTTGAGTTGGCAAATAAAGATTTTTTTTATTAATTAAGTTGATTAAAATTAGATAATTTATATTAATTATATTAAATGATGCGTTCGCGATTGTGCTTGATCGAAGTATTGATCTACGGTTTGTCGTGGGTGCATGGCCTATGCCGACGCCACTCTCTTGCAGCTCTCGCTGCTTGCGGTAGAAGATCTTCTTTGTATGTGAACGTGGATATAACTATAATCGAAAAATTGGGTTAAGAGCTTTAAATTTTTATCTAAACCTTAGACGTTATTGTATCATAACATTGATAAAGTGTATTACGGCGTGTGTGTGCACAGATTCAAGCGCACATGAAACCTGGGCTACGAGTGCACGCGTATTTTATGTGTTATTGTCTGATAATATTGGTAAAGTCTATTACAGTGTACTTGTTCTCGCAGTTTTGAATGCACATGCAACCCGGGCTACGAGTCTACGGAGACCGGGCACGCGTGCCGCGACGTGGACGAGTGCGGCGACAACCCGCGCGTGTGCCGGCGCGGCCGCTGCCGCAACACGCCCGGCTCTTACGAGTGCAGCTGCGAGCCCGGCTTCGCGCCCAGCGCCGCCGGCTATTGCGCGGACGTTGATGAGTGCGCTGACGCCTCCGTGTGTCAGGTCCTGATACATTGCTAGACTGCATGTTTTTTTACAGAATAAGAATAACAAACGGTCACACAGTACGCCTAATGGTAAGTAGATGAGCCACAGCACTCACTTACCATCAAGTGGGTTCTGTGATGGCTTGTTACACTTACTCTTAATAAGATATCAAAGATGTGAAGAAATAATTAGATAAGATCTTGGCTACTTAAGTTTTTTTAATATGTTTCTTTAAGGACGCGTTTTCAAATCAACCAAAATTAGGGTGTTTTTCGGTACAATTTGTGACAAAACTAAACCAAATCAAATATAAGTAAAAACTACCATGTATAGATTGGTTCTTCATCTGCAAACATCTGTAACTCTTTTGTTGAAAATAGTAGTTTTTTATATTGTAAAAACGAACTTTCGTTGCCATTTTCTACAAAATTAACGATACCGGCTTGTGTTTCGGTACATGTTTTGGTCTATTATCAACATATTTAAAAAAAATTAAAAAATACTATAAGATGACAGACATATTCAATTAAAAAACCCTGGGTTTATTTTTTAACAAAATGTCACAAATAGTCGTAAAAAAAATAAAAACTGATGCACATTTTTTCACATATTTTGGTAATACGGATGAATCATAATCTATTGCAATAAGGGCTATTTTATTGTTGGTGCCTGCTTTGATTTATTGTACAAAGATTTCGATGAAACCACAGTCCGCGCTCGGCCGCCGTCGTGAGTGGACACTGTATCGCCTGTTTGCAGCGGCTCATTCTGAAAAGATCGCTGTACATACACAAAATATTAGAAAAAAACAAATTGGAAACATAAGTACTTGACAAGTGATAAAATTATTATTTTTATACTCACAGTTTTTTATTCAGCTAAAAATAAGTAGAATATATAAACTTACCTACTTCTGCAACTCCTGGACGAGCGGAACTAGGTGTGCCGAGTTTGGGCTCGTTTTGTTGGTTATGATGAGACCTTACCTCCGGACTTGATGGCGTGACCTGAAGGTGTACTTTCGTGACCGCTATTTGAACTTCTTGCAGAGTAAAACTAGGGGTGGCGAATTTGGGCTCCGTTTTGTTAGTTATGACGAGTCCATACCTCCGGACTTGATGGAGTGACCTGAAGGTGTAAATCGGTGATTGCAACTGGAACTCCTAGACTGGTAGAACTAGGTGTGCCGAGTTTGGGTTCGTTTTGTAGGTTATGATGAGACCTTACCACCGGACTTGATGGAGTGACCTGAAAGTGTAGTTCGGTGATTACAAGTAGAACTCCTAGACTTGTAGGACTAGGTGTGCCGAGTTTGGGTTCGTTTTGTTAGTTATGATGAGACCTTACCACCAGACTTGATAGAGTGACCTGAAGGGGTAATTCAGTAACTACTGCTGGAATTTCTGAACGAGTAGAACTAGGTGTGCCGAATTTGGGCTTCGTTTTGTTAGTTACGACGAGTCCATACCTCCGGACTTGATGGAGTGACCTGAAGGTGTAAATCGGTGATTGCAACTGGAACTCCTAGACTGGTAGAACTAGGTGTGCCGAGTTTGGGTTCGTTTTGTTAGTTACGATGAGACCTTACCACCGGACTTGATTGAGTGACCTGAAGGTGTAATCAGGTGGTTACAAATGGAACTCCTAGACTAGTAGAACTAGGTGTGACGAGTTTGGTTTCGTTTTGTTAGTTACGATAAGACCTTACCACCGGACTTGATGGAGTGAAATTCGGCACACCTAGTTCTACTGGTTCAGAAATTCCAGCAGTAGTTACTGAATTACCCCCTTCAGGTCATTCCATCAAGTCTGGTGGTAAGGTCTCATCATAACTAACAAAACGAACCCAAACTCGGCACATCTAGTCCTACAAGTCTAGGAGTTCCACTTGTAATCACCGAACTACACCTTCAGGTCACTCCATCAAGTCCGGTGGTAAGGTCTCATCATAACCTACAAAACGAACCCAAACTCGGCACACCTAGTTCTACCAGTCTAGGAGTTCCAGTTGCAATCACCGATTTACACCTTCAGGTCACTCCATCAAGTCCGGAGGAATGGACTCGTCATAACTAACAAAACGGAGCCCAAATTCGGCACACCTAGTTCTACTCGTTCAGGCATTAAAGCAGTAGCTACTGAATTACCCCTTCAGGTCACTCCATCAAGTCTGGTGGTAAGGTCTCATCATAACTAACAAAACGAACCCAAACTCGGCACACCTAGTTATACCAGTCTAGGAGTTCCGGTTGCAATCACCGATTTACACCTTCAGGTCACTCCATCAAGTCCGGAGGTATGGACTCGTCATAACTAACAAAACGGGGCCCAAATTCGGCACACCTAGTTCTACTCGTTCAGAAATTCCAGCAGTAGTTACTGAATTACCCCCTCAGGTCACTCCATCAAGTCTGGTGGTAAGGTCTCATCATAACCTACAAAACGAACCCAAACACGGCACACCTAGTTCTACTAGTCTAGGAGTTCCACTTGTAATCACCGAATTACACCTCCAGGTCACTCCATCAAGTCCGGAGGTATGGACTCGTCATAACTAACAAAACGGGGCCCAAATTCGGCACACCTAGTTCTACTCGTTCAGAAATTCCAGCAGTAGTTACTGAATTACCCCTTCAGGTCACTCCATCAAGTCTGGTGGTAAGGTCTAATCATAACCTACAAAACGAACCCAAACTCGGCACACCTAGTTCTACTAGTCTAGGAGTTCCACTTGTAATCACCGAATTACACCTCCAGGTCACTCCATCAAGTCCGGTGGTAAGGTCTCATCATAACCAACAAAACAAACCCAAACTCGGCACACCCAGTTCCACTGGTCTAGGAGTTCCTGTTGTAATCACCAAATTACACCTTCAGGTCACTCCATCAAGTCCGCAGGTAGGTAAGGTCTTATTATAACTGACAAAACCAGTTCAAAGTCCAGAGCTAACATCTCACTACCAGTAGAGGGCTTCCAGTGCCAAGCAGTCTTTGGAGCAGGTATTCATATTTCGTATCGAAGTATATTTCTGAGGTAGGTATAAGAAATGAAAAACAGATTCAATCTTTCAAATTATCAAAATAATTTCATTTGACTACGATTCCCACAGCTAACCGTGCGTACACTAGTGTGTGTGTGACTTTTGTCAATGTAGTAGTGCGATTCTATACCTATCCATTTTGTAAACGCGTCCTTAAAATAATGTATTAATATCCTAAAAAAACGAATGATTGTATTAACTGTGTTGTTCGTGGTCAGGGCGGGCGGTGCGTGAACAGCGAAGGCTCGTTCCAGTGCGTGTGCGAGGCGGGCTACCGGCCGACGGCGGCGCGCGGCGCGTGCGTCGACGTGGACGAGTGCGCGGAGCTGCGCGTGTGCCGCAACGGCCGCTGCCGCAACTCGCCCGGCTCCTTCCGCTGCGACTGCCTGCCCGGCTTTACGCTCAGCAGCGACGGACGCACCTGCCTCGGTATGTTAATACAAATTTTACCACTGAGTGGCCATTCAAGCTATGATATTAATTATAATAATTAATGAACAAATTAATTAAACTAATGTCCTGCAGGGACCGCGTAGTAATGAGTGAGAAAGTCCACTATCCCATATCATACCGTGGGTGTCGTAAGAGACGCCAGAGGGATATACGTGGCAGTCACGCTGCAGCTATAATATAAATATAAATGGAATCAAATAAATGGATCGACTCGACTTGGAAGGAATACCAGCGTAAGGCAGCAGCTCAATACTGTTGTGTTTCGTATAGCGGGTGTAGTGAACCGGGTACCCGATTTACTGGAAACAGGGCACTCCATCTTAGTCCTCAGGGGTGACAACGCATCTGCATTTTCATTCTTAATCGAGGGTCGATATTTTTTTTATAGGATAGGGTGACAAACGTGCACACAGTCCATCTGATGATGATGGTTGCTGTGGCCCGTAGACGTCTACATCTATCATCGATTAAAAATCAAAATGCAGATGCGTTGTCACCCGTGAGGATTAAGATGGAATGCCTCGTTTCCAGTAAAAAGGGTCACTGGTTCTCTACACTTACCATACGAAACACAGCAGCATTAAGCTACTATTTTACGCTGCTATTAACTGCAGCATGGCTCTACCACGTATAAATGTAAATGATATTGATTTCTATTGGCCACAATATTCACTTACCATCTTGTAGATTGTGGTACTGTGACCCTTATTATATAAAAAAAACGACGGGTTGCACTCCGGAAGTGCCGGCAGAAGTAAAAACTTGAATATTGTTGCGCGCCTAAGTTGACGTCTGGCACTAGTGCCATCTAGTGTCGGGTAACAGAGCGAGGAGAGCTTTCCAGAAAATGACATGACTAATCTTTTAACCAACAGCGCCATCTAGTATCGAATTGAAGAACTAAGCTTTCTAGAAGCCTCACACTCGAACTTTCTGCGTCTGGTCGGTCGGCGACCGTATCTGCGGGAATATTCTGGATGTTTCGGCGTAAAAGTGTATTTAAACCGCTGCATGCCGCGATCGAGGAAATATTGAATTTGGCGAGACAAGCGAAGCTTCGGAGCGAAATAAAGTGAATCAGTGTGGTTAATTATTAGTGTTTTAAGTTTTAATTGGTGTTGGGTAATAAAAGTGTAAATTTTGGTAATTCAATCGGCAGTTTTTATTGTCACGAACCTCAAGCTCGTAACAATATTAACGAAGTGCATTTTTGATATTTTGGAATGGTTAGGGAACAATTTTGCACGAATTGCTTTAATTATCAGTATAAAAGTACTATCATTTATGTGGTAGAATACAATATTTATTTATTGCGCTATCGTACACAAACATGACAATTTATATTACATTAAAAAGTTTATCTCTTCAGAAAACGCGGCTTACTATGTACTCTCCATCCGTCTTACGAATTTTCGATCAGATCACGTGTCTTGACGCGAGTTTAACATTTTTACCCATTACAAATAAGTGTACAACGCCCCTAAAGAAGTTTTTACTTCAAAAATCTGGCAAAAATTTACGATTAAAATATACTGGTGACCATTCAGGCTATGATATTAATAATAAAAAATGTTTATCAGAAAGAATTTCGGTCACGGCCAGTCTCAACAAACACTACCCTGCGCAGGGCAGGAAGTACCCGAGTGTACTCGCAAGCACAGGTACACTCTCTATTGCCTCACTTTAATAGTCTGATGGACCGGTAATCAACACGTCCGGAGAGATATTACTAACTAACGGCTTCTTGTGCTTCCCGAGGAAGGGGGGTGAAAAATCGCCAACTTTCTGACTTCAGGCTGCAACTGTGAATGTTTTGACAAAAAACCAAATAACTGACTTTGACCCGACCCAGAATAAGAACCTCATGATCAGCAATTTCGTTTACGACTGATAGACCAAGCAGTCAGCATGATATTAATAACGTCGTACTTACTGTCACTTGTTACTCCTTACTACCTCTAACTTGGACCCTTACTATCTATGTTTAAATGATTTTAAAGCAATTTTTACTTTTTGTTGCAGATGAGGTTCAAGATTTATGTTACGAGAAATACGAAGAAGGACATTGTACTGGACCCGGTACCACTCCGGTCACCAGGTCACAGTGTTGCTGTAGTTCTAGCAAAGGTATTTTTATATTTATTATTTGAAACCAATTTCAGTGTAAAGAGCGCGTTTTATTACATTTTTTTGAACTTATATTAGGTCTTCGATTGGGTTGGGGAGTGGCGTGTAAGGAATGCCCCAAGCAAGGAACCAAGGAGTATGAAATATTATGCCCTGAGGGACCAAGTAAAGATAACGGCGGCGCAGATATAAATGAGTGCACAACGATCCCAGGAATATGTCCTCATGGAACCTGCGAGAATCTGGAGCCTGGTTATAAATGTATTTGTGACCCTGGATTCCATCCCGATGCTGATGGAATTTGTAGGGATATTGATGAATGTGATATGCATCAGTCGGTAAGTACTTTATAATTGATTAATGTTGTCATAATTACTCACAATCGTCAGCGGTGATATGTATTTTCTAGTTAAGAGGTTAATTATTAGTTAGTTGAGTTAAAGATGTTAGAGTAGTTTTTGAAGGAATTTCTTATGGGTTTTATGTTGGGAGTGATAGCACACGAAATTATTTTAGAGAGAAGGTACTCTTTAAACGTGCTAAATAATTTTCAAATTTTTTATTTGATCATTTTAATAAAGTAATGCCTGACGCTATTAATTGTTTTATAATTTAAATATCACTTATGTTTTCTATTATTGTATGTATTTCTATTATCTAATACAAAAGTCCAAGGTGTGTTATTTAGTACAAAAGGAAAGTTTATGTTAAATTAATTTAAAACTTTTTATGAGGACATTGAGATGTGTAACATATTTATGTTATTGTTTAATATTATAAATTAAGACTTATTTTTCATCACATATTAATTTTCAGTACTGTACTGGTGGACAATGTCGAAACACAATGGGGAGCTTCAATTGCGTTTGTCCCCCCGGTACACGTTACGAGGCCGAAGAACAAATCTGTCGAGACATTGACGAATGCGAGGGTGAGCTTGTTTTCATCGTCAAGGATTATGACAGAGGGGACATACCTCCCATGTTCCCACTGCTCACAGGTTACGAACCTTTGTGAAATGCATCCGATACCGCACTGACCTTGCATTTGGCATCCTAACGTCATGCCAATGTTACCACGTGAATCCATTCTTCTTAGTCGCGTTACATTTGCCTGATATCATGGGTACACACGTAACATGGGTTCATACCAGGATTGAAACCGAAACTATATATTTCTAAAATTTCGCTGTTTTAAAAAAAAATTAACATTTGATCATTCAAGTAATATTCTTGGTTATATTCTTAACATCGTCATCTGTAAAAAGATTAATTGCATTGTTCATTTTTTATAATCATGTAATGCTAAATTAATTATTTAATATTTATAACTTCTGATTTGCTATACATACTTTTAAAAATTGTCTGTTTTTAAATTGGATTGAATACCTCTACTGTTCTGTTTGTGAGTATATTTTTGGTACATTACTCTGTGTAGTTAATCAAGTTCTTAACAAGTTATCAGGTTTAAAATTACGTCATATTGACTTAATAAATTTATAAATTAGATCTACAGTAATTTTCAAATTGATTATCGAGAATTTGTTCGTTTATTACAGAACAATCTAATCCCTGTGATAATGGACGATGTATAAATACCCACGGAAGCTACGAATGTGAATGCGAACATGGCTTTGTTTTGGATGCTACGGCTCAACATTGTCTTGGTAAGTAATTTCATTTAAATCTGTAAGTATTTTAAGAGTTCAATTAAGGGTAAGAATTGCAAAATAAAGTCCAACCGTAATATTTGAAAGTTACGATTATGAACTTAATTTTATGAGAAATTGAATTTAAAGATAAAAAATATCATATTTGAATTTCGAATATGTTGGAAGTTATCTTGATAAAACTAATGTTACATATGTTATTCTTATATATTACAAAATTATAGAAAATTGTCTGGTTTTTATTAATTTTTTTCGATAACTTCCAGTACTTCCAATTTATTAAGAGAAATTTTAGGCTTTGATCGTCCTTATTAATTTCCAATTTTAGGAGGAAAAAGGTACATTTTGACCTATGACTTTTCGATTTCTGTATGTTATATCCTTTTAAATACCAAGAAGAAAACCAAGTAGGCTACCAAGAAGCAATGTGGAAAATCAATCAATCGTAGTGTACCGAAGACGAACAAAGTTTTGCTATCGATATAGAAGGACTAAGAATAAGCCAATCTTTGTAGTAAATCCTTTGGTGCACTAGACGTAAAGAGGATCTTCGTGCGTGCTTTTACTGGGAACGAGGCATTCCATCTTAGTCCTGAGGGATTACAACGTATCTGAATTTTGATTCTTAATCGAGGATGTATGTAGGTGTCTATGGGACACAACATCCTCATACCATCAAGTGGACTGTGTGTTCATTTGTCACCCCCTTATTCTACAAAAAAATGTAGGTTGGATTCGTTTGCACTCCGTACACAATGTCCTTGTAGTAAGTGCTCACTGCAATAGTAAATATAGGCACGTGTCGTGCGGTATGGTGATTTGTGTGTTGGTGGTGGATTGTGTGGTGAGCTGTGTGGTGTGGTGATGTGCAGACAACAGGCGCGGGTCATGTTGGCGGCGCGTGGTGGACGGGCAGTGCGAGGGCGCGGCGCCGGGTGCGCTACTGCGCCAGGAGTGCTGCTGCAGCGTGGGGCTGGCTTGGGGGTCACCTTGTGAGCCCTGTGACCCGCAACACTGCCCCTGCCCCAAGGGATTCGCCAAGGTAAGCTATTTTGTTGGTCTCAATTGTTATTCGCCCTTATTCTTAAAAATTTTGAATAGTCATGCAGGTTTTTGGTTTTGGGTAGATGAATGGGGTAGAGGGGTAAGGGGAATGTCTCCTACACCCCGACACCCGTGATGAGGTAATACACAGTTCTTGAGAAAAATTCAAAAGGCAAAATCCTATAGACCTAACCTCAGAATGATAACATTCATCTCTCTCCGGTAGCACGGGGCAGGGTGGAGGGGTGAGGGGTGTTCCTATCACAACTGTAACAATATTTGGGTGCTCTTGGTTTTTTGAGCAGAAAAAAAACCACGAAGGTACGAAGGCTGTGACGGGAGCGAAGCTAAATATTGCTTGTATACTCTAACCTAGCTCAACTGAAAAGATTTCTGGATGTAAACTATGTAATAATGATTTCTTTATTGTTTGTAAACATTATTTATTATGAAGATATAAATAACGAAAGAATAAAAATACCATAGATGTATAATAATTTTAGACCAGTTTTTACAGCACTTACACAAATTTATATATGCCATCCAGCTTTCACAGTAATATTGAATTCGTTTTTCCATGTTTTACCCATTTTAGGCTATAATTGTTTTTTTTTTTCACAAAAACAGTGCATTACCCTTTAAATGCGAATGATATTGTGATAATCGAGGATCAAACCTCTACCAAATTCAACACCTTACTTCTCCAAATTCCTGCCAAATGATTCTAAATCCGATTATTCTATAAAAAAGCCTTTTTTGTAACGTAAAGCCATATTGCCATTTTACGCTATTTTATTTTTTATAAGACATTGTCTTTTGAACCAAAATAATTTAATATGGATGTTATTGCATTTGATTTCATCTTATTTTTAACATTTGACTATCCAATAGTTCAAAATGCCCGGCAGTTAATAATAATAGTTTTAAATTAAGCGCGACAAAGTAGTAAGAATTGTAGGGATATTCAATATTTATCACAAAACCTTTTTATTTAATAAGCTGGACGGAGCAACCTGCCGCGATGTAGACGAGTGCATGCTGGATCCAGAGTTGTGTATCGGCGGTTCCTGTGTCAACACTGATGGCTCGTATCGCTGCGACTGTCCTCCGGGTCTAGCTCTCGACTCCACTGGTAATGAAAACGTTTCCATTATTCCTTTATGTATTTATTTTTACCTTATTATATATTGTGTTACAATATAATATTATAATTTATTTAAATCGTTTTGTATTAAAATATATTTTATTTATATTTTATAATTGTGATTTTTTCCCCGCAATAAATGGCAGAGACTTATGTTACAATATCGCAAATCTAAGTAGCTTTGTAACCAGTTTTTGCGTTAACTGCAGCGTTATTTTATCGGAAAAAATACGCTATAATTTACAAGAAATTAGAAGTAGGTAATATGGATTTTCTTGAAATGTATCTGGAGAAGTGAGAGAAACTCTAAAATGTATTAAAAGTATTAATTACTTCGCAACCTTCCGCTAACTAAATACAATGATGTGTCTGACCTGGATTGAAGAGCACCTCCCGCCCTCCCTCAATTGCATGTACTAACTCCGTCACCACTAGTCCCAGCACCACTACTCCCGGCACCACTATTCCAGGAAAGACACACCATCGACGATAATACGACACGAGTTTCCCCTCTACACGAGGCATCCTCAGGTGATGTAGACTCTACGGCGGCTGACCGCTAAGAGCGAAACACGTGTATTATAGTCGATGGTGTGTCTTACCTGGAATAGTGGTGCCGTAGTGGTGTTGGGAGTAGTGGTGCTGGGACTAGTGGTGACGGAGTTAGTACATGCAATTGAGGGAGGGCGGGAGGTGCTCTTCAATCCAGGTAAGACACATCATTGTATTTAGTTAGAGGACGGTTGCGAAGTAATTAATATTGTTATTATAATGGATTTCCGCAAAGTAACGCCTGATTTTATCAATTATCTAAAATGTATCTTAATCTATAGAACTAAAGAAAAAGAAATCTGAATCCACTCTATTTTTCCAGTTGCAACTACATTACTGTAACAACTTTTATCGAACCTATATGAAATTTTATATAATTTGCGAAACAATATAGAATGATTTGATTTTCTTACTTTTTGAAAATTCATTTTATCTTATTTGTATTAAATAAAGAAAGCATATTATTCGGGGTTAAATTGGCTACTATCCTATCAGCCGGTAGCCCGTGTTGCTCTATGCGCTTAGTATCTTAACAACTTTCCTGTCCCCAAAAAAACATAATAAATTTCATATATAATTCATGGTAAACTGAAGTAGTTAATAATAAACTTCGATTGAGTAATTGTTAGCATCTTAAAAAATTCAGTTAACACAATACCGACTGGGAGGGAATGCCACAACCAAAAGGCATTAACTCCACCACTGCTCCTTGAGTTAAAAGTGTTTAAAATTAAAATAAAATACTGTATTTCCATTCGATTACAATGTGGGTATCTTCAAGGCAGGAGTGAAGAGGTTTTGTTGAGCTATGTTATTGAGCTTTACCATCATCAGGTACATGACCACTTAATATCAGATAGGATAGCAAGTGCTGATTTCCCACGTGAAGACGGTGAAGGAAAAGATCGTGAGGAAACGTCTGAGAAATAAGAAAAAAATATTTCTAAGATATGTGAAGTTCGTTAACACGCATTGAGGCATTGCGGCGGATTGCATTTCCTTGCCCTAAAAACCCTCTCAGAAATGAAAAGAGGCCTGTGACCAGCAGTGGGACGTATGTAGACTGTTAACTTTAACTTCAATTTTATATCTCTAGGTAATCGCTGTGTGGACACACGCAAAGAGTATTGCTATACGGACTATATTGGAGGGCGTTGCACGAATCCGTTGCAAGTGGAAGTGTATCGTGCGATTTGTTGCTGTTCCTCGCTCGGGAAGGCTTGGGGTGATGGTAGATGTGAACCTTGTCCCAAAAAAGGTAACATGGATTTCTAAATATAAAATATAGAACAAGCATGTAGAAATTTCCCTTATAATATTGCTACCTTTATTAAAGTTCTTATCGAAATTAGTTTACCATCGTTAATTTCTATACGAAATAGAGCCATGTTGCAGTTATATTAGTAATATAGTTGTAGCACGAATGGATCGGCCTGACCGGGAAAGGACCACGCTCTCACAGAATACCAGCGTAAAATGGTAACTTAATGCTGCTGTGTGCTGGTGAGTGTAAAGAACTGGAGACCCTTTTTACTGGAAACGAGGCATTCCATCTTAGTCCTCACGGGTGACAACGCATCTGCATTTTGATTCGCAATGGAGGATACATGTAGAGTGTCTATGGGCCACAACAACCACTTACCATCAGGTGGACTGTGTGGTCCACCTGATGGTAAGTGGTGATCAGAGAAGAATCACTACTTTCTTGTATTCAAATAGATGTTCATTTGTATGTTTTTAAATTAAAAAAACACCAACCAATTTTTAAGATAGTACTAAAATTAGAAAATTACTAAAATCGCACGTAAATAGCTCTCGGTCTCATAATATACATCTGTATCAGAGCGACCGTGTGTCACTCAGCATTATAAAAATCTGAGAGATGACACTATCTAGACAAACTTGAGAAGTGAAAATTGTAAAGTTTAACATTATGTATTCAAATACAAATATTTTATCCAAATCAGAGTGTTACCATATTAAAGTATTAATTCTTGTCCTCATAACAGTGTACTACCGTAAAAAGTGGTAAAAACTGAGTAGCTTTGTAACCAGTTTTTACGTCAACAGTAGCGTTATTTTATTTAAAAAGAAACCCAGTAATCTACAAGATATGTGATGTGATTGTTTTTGAAATATATCTTAATTTATAGAATCGAAGAAAAAATCTGAATTCACGCTTATTTTTTCGGTCACAACCAAAATATTTTCGCTACAATTATTATAGAAACCCTTTGCGGAACAATATTAAATAATTTAGTTTTCCTACTTTTTGAAAATTAATTTCGTGTCATTTGTAATAAATAAGCAAAGCATTTTACTCGAGGCAAAGTTTTATCGCACTCCGCCCTCGTTCAAAACGTCAGTACGCGGCGAGTTGTGTTGTTAGGCGGACTTATCCTGTGTTGCGAGAGGAACTTTTCGCTTTGACAACAAAATAATTCTATTTTATGTCTTCAGAAAAAATAAGAAAATCCTCCAAAAAAAGGGATCTAACCTAATAAAAAGGTAAAAAAAAAAACTAACATAGATAATAATAGTATTCATGTCATATATTACTTAAAACTAATATTGCAGAAAACAACTTATAAATCTACTCAAAACAACAAAAAAACTACAATCTTTTTTCTGCCAATATTGCTTATATACTGTAGACTTGTGTCATAGAGTAGTAAAGATACAGAGAGGTCACCAATGCTTTAGTACCTTTATTGTAGTAAAAGCTGTAAGTCTGTCTACATTACACCTATGGTTCATAAAAGATAGCTTGATCTCTGCGACAGCTGTCGGTAAAAATCACGCCAATGAAGTCCTGAATTTCTTAGTAGTACAGACACACAGTACCTGTCAATGTCATACTTTATAGGCATGCCGACCTAATTAGTGCATGCCCATAAAGTATGACATTGACAGGTACTGTCTGTACTACTTAGAAATTCAGGACTTCATAGGCGTGATTTTAGTGACAGCTGTCGCAGAGATCAAGCTATCTTTTATGAACTATATGTATGTTGTATTTCGAAGTTTTTTTTGTAAAAAATAGCTTTAATACAGTTTTATTACCAAAACTTGTGTGATAAATTGAATGCATAGGGGCGTAGGTACGGCATACGTATACCGTACCTACGCAACTGCAATTTCGTAGCAAGAAAGTGTGCGTGACATGACTTTAGGTGCGGGTGCAGCGGAGAGCACTAAAGAGTTTTGCCCACTTATAGTTGCCGACACGAGTCTTGAGCACAGAAAAATTGTGGTGGGAGGTAGGTACACTGTCGGGCAAAATTATTGGGTATCTTTATTGTTTCAATTCGTAATTGAATATTTTTGCCGACTTTTATGAAAATGTTTACTTGAACACATCAACTTTTACTTTGATACAGTAATGTTGCAGATATTCGTGTCCGTTATTTTATTATCTACTATAAAGTATTTAATGTTTACCTGGTGGTTAGAATTGATTATTTTATTAAGTAGAAGGAAGAGGTGATATGCCTTCCATAAAATCTCGTGTTGCGGTGCGCCGTACAGTAGCTACTGAGACATTAGTCGCCTCAGCAGTCTGTTTATATACGTCTGATATTTTTCGCAGTACCTAATTTTTCATGTAACTAAACACTGAATAGACCATTTGTCGGGATTGTCTATTTAACACTGAATTCTTCCTTCTCTGCATATTTAGACCAAAATCTGAACACTGAAATTATAACAAAAAAAATAATTAAAAACAAGAAATAACAAAAACAATTAATAACAAGGAATACACAAACAAAAATTAACAACGATGTAACCAAAACAATTAACGGAAATAAACTAATTAAAAAAGTTATCACTAAAATTATTGCTCTGAAGTGTACGGAAGCCGAATGATACGTTCGAAACCAATAGGCGACGAGAATCGACTGATGAACCAATCACGTTGACCGTCAGCGTGGTCAACGTCGTATCGACTAATAAAAAGTGTGCTCACGACTTATATCGGCAATTATACCCAAGTCTCGTAGGTACGGTAATAAGCCTATATTCGTGTCGTTTATAAACTATATTTATTTTTGACTTATTTATTTTATATAATTATTTAGGTACGGACGCGTATCGCAACCTCTGTATATCCGACGTGAGTGGACCACCGACTATATGGGATAGACCGTACCTTGGAGGACCGAACAAAACTGACATTTGGAGCCACACAGGTCCCGGAGACGGCTTTGATAACGATTGGGATGTTGACGTTAGCACTAACTTAGGCAACGGTTCGTTCGACGGATGGGGTTCCGGGAATGGAGTCATACCTGGACAGATGGAAGTTAACGAATGTTCCGCTTTTCCTGGACTTTGTGGACACGGAAGATGCAGAAATATGCTGGGAACATTTACATGTGATTGCTTCCCGGGCTATGAGAAGGTGTGTGTATTTTGATTTTTATTTTTAATTGAAATAACAGCCAGAATTTTGATCGCAATGCCGTTTTACATTATTATATGGTATGGTATATAACGTTAGGTATATAACGAGACGATTATATCACTGTCTATAGGAAACCATAGGATTTTTATGAAAATTCCCATAGTTACCTACTTACACAGTGACTGAGCCGTGGTAGCTCAGTGGTGGTTGGCGCTCGCTGTGAATTTCACAATACGCGAGCAAATCGGGTTCGATCCCCGCCGACACCAACGAAATTGTTAATTGCAATTATCATTACCACGTCTCGGCTAGGAAACATCGAGAGGAAACCTGCATGTCTGAGAAATAAGAAAAAATATATTTCGTAAACATGTGAAGTTCGCCAACACGCATTGGGGTAGTGCGGCGGACTATTCCTTGCCCTATAACCCTCTCAGAAACGAGCGGAAGCCTGGGCCAAGCAGTGGGACGTATATAGGTTGTAGCTTTAACTTTAACACAGTGACTATTAGTTTGTGCCTCTTTGGAAAATTCCACAAATGTCGGATTAAAAAGTGTGATATTTACGTTAAAGCTTTTCTAAAGCTTCTCTTCTTCTAGACTTGCGCAATGAATAAATTTTTAAGTTACATAGTGGGTGATTTATGAGATTTAACTTTCCGCTATGACAATCAATGTTTTTCTAAAATCGGAAAGTTATTGGTTTCAACCCGGTTTTCGAAAATGGGGTTCTTATCAGATTTCTACGTTTTAGATCCTAGAAAGCCGTTCTATTTCTACTAGAATGCAACTATTTCTGTATGTATGTGTGTGTGTGTGTACGTGTGTTTGTGTGTATGTGTGTCGTGTGTTTGTGTGTGTGTGTGTACGTGTGTGTGTGTGTGTGTGTGTGTACGTGTGTGTGTGTGTGTGTGTGTGTACGTGTGTGTGTGTGTGTGTGTGTGTGTGTGTGTGTGTGTGTGTGTGTGTGTGTGTGTGTGTGTGTGTGTGTGTGTGTGTGTGTGTGTGTGTGTGTGTGTGTGTGTGTGTGTGTGTGTGTGTGTGTGTGTGTGTGTGTGTGTGTGTGTGTGTGCGTGTGCGTGTGCGTGTGCGTGTGCGTGTGCGTGTGCGTGTGCGTGTGCGTGTGCGTGTGCGTGTGCGTGTGCGTGTGCGTGTGCGTGTGCGTGTGCGTGCGCGTGCGCGTGCGCGTGCGCGTGCGCGTGCGCGTGCGTGTGCGTGTGTGCGCGTGCGTGTGCGTGTGTGTGTGCGTGTGTGCGCGTGCGTGTGTGCGCGTGCGTGCGTGTGTGGTGCGCGTGCGTGCGTGCCGGTGCGGCGTGCGTGCGTGCGTGCGTGCGTGCGTGCGTGGCGTGCGCTGTGCGCGTGCGCGTGCACGTGAGTGTGCGTGTGCGTGTGTGTGTATATGCGTGTGTGTGTGTATGCGTGTGTGTGTGTATGCGTGTGTGTGTGCGTGTGTGTGTGTATGCCTGTGTATGGATATACGTAACCCTTTCATAACTTTGAATGGCTTGACCGATTTGAACTCAGCGGCGTTCGAAACAGCTTCACTAAACTTAGACACTAAACTTAGCTTTTCTATACCATTTGAACTGATTCGGACCAGTAGATTTTGAGAAATCTTAAAACAACATTTTCAAAAAAATCCTTTTTGAGGTAACTTTTAAACAGATGTAACGATTATATCATCTGATCGTCGAATCGAAACATCAATTGCTTCAAACTGCATCAAAATCGGTTGATGCATTGAAGAGAAATCGTTAACGAAAAATTTCGAAAAAAGTTTTTTTAAAATAACTTCGAAATTTTTTCATGAATCGTTTTTGATGTAATGAACTATGAATGCTGAAAAATCTGGGTAGAATGCCGTCAAGTTTGTCAGAATTGCTTGATTTGTTCGTGAAATATTTATTTTAAAAAATTTAAAAGAATCTGGTTTTACAAAAATATTTCCAGGTAGTATATAATAGTTCTAGGTGATAGTTCCAGGGATGAAACTGTCTAGAAAAAACTTATTTTGAGAAAATTATAAAAAAAAATAAAATAAAATAAAAAATGGTTTTACAAAAATATTTCCGGTAGTATACAATGGGTCCAGGAACCGTCTAAGAAAAATTTTATTTTTGAGAAAATTATGGTGTATTATGTAAATGACGTAGAGGGCTATGGCATAGATAATTTTTCAAATTTTTTGCTTTTTCATTGACATTTTATCGAATTAATCTATCAACAAATACTACGATTATGAAGTGAACATTTTAACTAACGGCTGATTCAAGGTAAAGTGCGTTACAAATTCATTGATATTTACAACACGTAAAGTGGGTGCACATAGTTTGAATTTCGTTGTCGAAATTGAATAGATTATTTCTTGAGAAAAATAACCTATCTATCCGATAAATATGAGTACGGTAGAATACGTTGCACACTTAGCATATTGATGTGCACATTTAATTTCAAGTTTTTGTGTAGTGATAGACAGGGAATACACGGACTGCTGTTCTGCCTAGAAGTCTGTCTAGGTAGTTCCTACCCTATCATCTATTTCTGCCCCAAGCAGCAGTGCGTGCACTACTAGCAGCAGTGCGTGCACTACTGTGCTGCGGTCCGAAGAGTATGGAAAAAGAGAGTCAGTAAAGTTATAGTCTGTGAGGCATCTTAGTCCTGAGAAGGGACTACGCATATGCGAAGACCACATTCTTTTGAAGTTACCATCAGGTGGACTGAGAGTCATTTGTAATTTATTTTTATAAAATAATGAAATGTTCGAATCATGTTGTGGATAAACAGATTTAATTGATATTGTAAATATTTGATTAATAATTAAAATGTATACTAAATGATTTACCAATTTTATTTTATATCTGTTGGTGTCGACAAAATCGATTACAGTGCCATAGTGGGAAAAACTTATTGCCGTTGATTTCTTAAAATAAAATAAACAAAAACATAAATCCACATGCAGGACTCTAAAAACCACACGTGCGTGGACGTGAACGAGTGCGAGATCGTGGACGGGGTGTGCGGCGCGGGCGAGTGCCACAACACGGATGGTGGCTTCTCCTGCCACTGTCACGGCGGCCACCGCCCCGATCCGATCTCCAAAGTCTGCGTGGGTACGTGCACTAGCTTGTCCGCTGACTCGCGTCTTCTAATTTTATAGAATTACTTAATTTTAATCTGTATAATGCGATTTTTTTTATTAACTGGCTTTACGGCTCTGGGTTCTAGCACTTCTGAGCCTATCATTTCTTTCGGAATCTTCATTTTATATTCTTTTTCTTCACAATATGCTGATGCGTCATATTGCGAAGCCCTTGGGAGATTTTGACGACAGCTCAACCAAACGGACAGTTGATGACGACAGCCACTCAAGTTCGTAAGGCGCCCAAGCGATCAAAATAACTTGAGGTTTATATCGTCGTTTTTCTAGTAGTTCACACGCGCGGACACTTAATTAACAAAATCGCATCACTTTTACGAATCAAAATCCACTTCAAACCATTATTCAAGTGAAAAACAGGAGCGACAATCCGTTTACGGCCAAGTTCACGCCAAAACCCATAATGCGAAACAGTGTTCAAGGTGATTAAACATCAATTGTTTTTTTTTCGATTGTCAATCCTCTTACTTCACGGCTCCGTGGCGCAGTCGCTTAGCAATGAATACCTGAATATTATAGGTAAATCAAGTTGCAAATTTTCTATTTGAGACTACATATAACAATTCAATACTTAAAAAGTATATTGAACAGCGAATGTTATATATTGTTAGTTGGACCTGAAATTAGGAACATAAATAACGCAATATTTTTTGTGGTCGTTACTGATGGGTCTGAGTGTAAGCGAGTGGTGACAGCGACAAAGTGAAGTGAGAGGTGAATAGAGGCGACGCCATTTGTAATCCCATTCTTTATTGCGCGAGTAGTAACAAAGTTCACATTTCTAAACTTGCTGATATGTTGTATGCCCGGTGCAGCTATAGACGAGTGCGCGTGGATTGTGTGCTCATTTATTACATTTATTTTATAAAAAAAGGTAACAACAATATAACGTCAACATATCTGAATCTGCTAATATGTGTGGTACGTCTGATGCAGACATCGACGAGTGCACGGAGGACAGTGCGCTGTGCCGCGGCGGGCGCTGCGTGAACGCGGCGGGCTCGTTCCACTGCGAGTGCGCGCCCGGCATGGAGCTGGCGCCCGACCGCCTCTCTTGCAAGGACGTCGACGAGTGCTCCATCACCTCCGGTAACATAATAATTGTGTTATAGCCCTCTAGAAAACGTACATTTTACGTGGTAGAGCGACGCTGCAGCTATATTATGGTTGTAGCACGAATGGGTCGACTCGACCGGGGAAGGACCACGCTCTCACAGAATACCAGCGTGAAATAGCAGCTTAATACTGCATACTGTATACTGTACACACAGAAAAAAATCTTACAGGAGTAGTAATAAAGTTATGTAAGAACACTAGTGAGAGATGACGTTCTGTTCTCTTTCCTAGAATAGCATGTGCTAAGGAGATTCAGTCTCTTACCCTTTTACACAATGCAAAAAAATGCTTTAGTACTACAGATTTTATGTGTATTGTTTGTGTATTTGAACATATATGCGCGAGTATAAGTTCGTGATTTTGTGTATGTGTGTGTCTGCCTCATAACATAATTATATTATTATATTAATATAATATAAATTAACTTTTTTTAGGAATTTGTAATAATTTCTATTACTTTCACGTATTTTATTGTGTTGAAACTTCATTATTTTCCTTTTTGCCTTCAACATTCAATTTGTGGTGATTAACGCGGCAGGTATATGCAGCAACGGCGCATGCGAAAACTTGATGGGGACGTACCAATGCGTGTGCGACGAGGGCTACGCGCAGTCGACGGTGAAGTCGCACTGCGAAGACATCGACGAGTGCAGCGAAGATCCTACACGCTGCCAGCACACCTGCGTCAACACGCCCGGCTCCTACCACTGTACCTGCAGGTCTGAGCACTATTATTGTGCGACTTTTTCGTCATCTCGTAAAATTAAATAAGTTCAGTGCTGGCCATAAGTTTCTCCCGTTACAGAGAGGGTTTGCTAAAATTGTAACAAGTCCTCAAGGGTGACAACACATTTGCATTTTAATGATCAAGCCTTTTTTCCAAGGGTATTAATCAACTTACAAAACGTTCTATGTATGTATGTTACGTGGTAGAGCCACGCTTCAGCTATATTATGGTTGTAGCACGAATGGGTCGGCTCGACCGGGGAAGGACCACGCTCTCACAGAATACCAGCGTGAAATAGTAGCTTAATGCTGCTGTGTTTCGTGTGGTGAGTGTAGAGATCCGGAGACCCTTTTTTACTGGAATCGAGGCATTCTATCCTAGTCCTCAGAGGTCACAACGCATCTGAATTTTAATTCTAAATCGAGGATAAATATAGATTTCTATCGGCCACAGCATCACTAACCATCAGGTGGACTGTCTGTTCGATTGTCACCCTTATTCCATAAAAAAAATACAATTCACATATACTTAGAGATATCCTGGAGTTTCATTGCATTTCCAAAAATTTATTTATCGATCTAGTATGCCACATTCATTTAGATTTTATAATATTTATTATAGTCAACCAAATCTAAGAAATACATTTTGGCAGCTGTCAGACTTATTGCACCAAGCATGCCAACCAAAAAAACTGGAACGTACAATATGAGATTCTTAAAAAATCGATGTCGATTATGTAGAGTTGATAATTATTTACAATTTTGTTTGAATGATACCAGAATAAATCAGAAACGGATAACTTAAAACACAATATTTATCAGTTTTTTCGTATTTGTCGATACTGCTTATTTCTAGGGGCAAAGTTATAAAAATTTAAGATTGAAACTAAATTAAAAATAAATTTATTCAATCATTTTCAGTACAACTAGTTTAGCTATCGTTGTTTAGATTAATTATTATTTGATTTTCAGTAATGCAGTCAAAATTAATGTCTCTTTCAAAGTCATCCATAATAATTTTTTTTGTTTTGCTACCACTTTTGCCCAATCATCCTTTGTGACGTGGGCACATGCTTCAATGAATATAGGAGAAACAGTCCAAAATGTTAAAGCCGAGTCACAAAATAAGAAGACAAACACAAAATCACAAAATTACGCACAGTAAGCTCCCGAAATGGCGGGAGATTGAAATTACGTAGTGGTTTTTTCAGCGCGGTCTTGTATATGAGTTGTTTTGCCTACACAAATTTACGTTGATTCATATAATTTAAGGAATTTTAAAAATAAAAATGTAATTAAAGGAAATAATACATTAATAAAATTAATGACTCGATTATTTGAACATTTTTACCGATTTTTGAATTTTAATTATCGAAACACTACGGTAAGCTACATAGCGACATATCATTGAAACGACGTCAAGTAAAAAACTTGATACTGGTTATTTTTTTAAATATTTTGCTCTGTTTGAAAGATTCGAATTTAAATTAGTGACAAAAACTATACATGTTGTAATAAAATATAGAAAACTTCATAATTCTTCGGATTTACGTAAAAGGTTATTTTAAATCGTGTGAGTACGGTGGTGCAAAGTTATTGCGGAATGATTAATGTGAAACGTCAAAAAGTATTTCTTAATTTTGGTTGAATATAATGATATTATAAATTTTAAAACGTTTAATTTATCGATAAATTATATGAAATATCTGTCTGTAATTTTTTTATCGATAAAATATCTGACAGATATTTCAATTATAATTATACATATATATGTATAGATAAGTCAGGCATCTTTGCACAAACACACAAAGTGTGTGTGTGTGTGTGTGTGTGTGTGTGACGGTGTGAGACGTGCGGGGCGCAGGGAGGGGGGGACGCTGCGCGCGGACGGGCGCTCGTGCCGCGACGTGGACGAGTGCGCGGCGGGCGCGCGCGTGTGCGGCGGCGGGCTCTGCCGCAACACGCCCGGCTCCTACCGCTGCGACTGCGCCGAAGGCTTGCTGCCCTCACCACCCGATGCCAAGCCCACGTGCCTCGACATCGACGAATGCGCTGACGTAAGTTCCTACACTGTTCTATTTTTAACTTTCCAGCTGGGTTTTGGCGAGAACTAGACCGGTGGCTGATTGCTGTTCCTGTATTATTGCTTAAATAGTAGGTACATCTATTTATTTGAAGTTATTTCGTCTTGAGATACTATCGTCATTGGTCTGTTGACTCAAGCTGCCATTAAATCTGCCAAAAACTTTATAATGGCGCATCAACATATTGTGAGGAAGTTTTGAAACACATTATTATAAAGGACAATTTCTAAAAGTACAACATTACGAGTTCGTGTAAGCCTAAGTATATTACAGTGACGGTGTAACAATATCCATATTAACAACACATATCATCCCGTGGATGTCGCAAGAGGCGACAGAGGGAATCAAATCAGGAGATGGGCGGCAGCGTCTTTATAATTACGACTAAAAAAGAAATCTGCGGTTTCTAACCCGCTTGCTAAGCGTGGCATCCCCCCTTTTTAGCAATCTATGGAGAAGGCAGGGTACATTTATTAGTGAATAAGTTTTTCATAATGATTTTTTATATTTACACGAACACTACACAATGAATAAAACTAATTTTATAGATTTTATCGCGTTTAATTTACTAGATTTTAATACCCGACATATTCACATAAAGCTGACGTGAAACCCTAACGCTCCGGAAAGTCTGTAGTTTGCAATCACATTCTAGATGGCCCCACCGTCACACCAGATTATATAGACCACAAATCCTCGTGAAGGAATGTCGATTCCAACCAAAGCTGATACGTGAGGCTATTGAAATTAAAAAAAAACACATCCCAATTTCAATAGAGAAGGAGGCTGGGTACTACCACCTGATTGGAATCCTGTAATAAATAAAATTAAAACTAAACCCCAGAATACCATTGCAAGCCTTCAAGACACAGTAAGTCCATTCTGCGTAGAAAATATAGGACCAAAAGTTAATTCTTACATCGGGAGTCAATCACCTCAGTCCTCCATGACCATGGGCGCTGGAAAGCATCTGAAACGTCGGGTATTAAAAATCTAGTAAATTAAACGCAATAAATTCTGTAAAAGTAGTTTTATTCATATAAGTTTTTTTCTCAGATCCCGGATCTATGTGGAGCGGGTGAGTGTCGCAACACAATCGGTAGCTTCGTGTGCCGCTGCCCGGACGGCTACAGTGTGAAGCCGGAGCTGGGCCCCGCTTGCTCAGACGACGATGAGTGCGAGCTCGGTACTTGCGATTGCCATCCTGCCGCCGATTGTATCAACCTGCCGGTAACATATAAGCTCACTGATTTTGACCTTACTCTTCTTACTTTGACTAATCTCGCCTCGCGTCACTTCAACTCATTTCGCTTCATCTAATTTTGACTTATCCTTCTCGACTCATCTCATCATTCGTCTTTACCTCATCTCACTGTTGACTTTGTCTTATTTTCTTAAAGTTCGATTTATTTGAAACATAGTGTTTTATAACTTTTTGAATTTTGTGTTGTTCATCCAAATGTTAATATGTTTATATTATAATATTTTATTACGGATTTGAATGAGCCAAGATCACTGTCATATAACAAAGAAAAAAAAACGTTAATGTGGTGAAAAATCCCCAAAACCCATTTATTTATTATATTTTGTATTTCTTAGCAAAACTATTTCCTAATGTTAATTGTTCACATTACGTTTGGTCTCTATGGAAATGTTATCTGTTGCGGTTATGAGAAGTTAGCTTGTCAACAATCATTCCGCGGATTATGTGGGTTAAAAAGATTTTCTTATTACATAATCAGGGTTCGTTCCAATGCCGATGTCGCGATGGATGGCGCGGCGATGGAACAGAGTGCGAAGACGTAGACGAATGTCTCACCAACAACGGCGGGTGCCACCCGCGAGCGAGCTGCCGCAACACCGACGGCTCGTTTGTGTGTCTGTGCGATACGGGATATAAGGGAGACGGGTGAGTCACTTTCAACTAACGACATTGTAAATTAATTTAGTGTTGGTATATAATGATGTCTTGATTTCTTTGCTTTACGTGAATACTACACTGTTTTTTTTTAATCAACTACAAAAAGGGGACGGTACTCAATTCGATTATGATTTTTTAATGTGTGTTACATCAAAGGTTTTTTCCCGGTGAACCGATTTTGATGACTTCATAAAAATCAGTTCATCTAGTTCGTATTTAGTTTATTAAAGATTAATTATTTGGCATCAGCTTGTATTCAAAAATACATGATTCTCTGTGACTTAAGGCTTTTCATATTCCCTTTATCACATAATTCAGTTATATTACACATTTTATGGACCCAGGAAGGACCACACTCATCATAGATCATAAAAAACCAGCATACAATAAAAACTTACTGGAAACGAGGCATTCCTAATCATCTTAGCCGTCAGGGGTGGCAAACTGGTGTGGCCGTGGAAGGAAAAGGGGAGATCTCCCGCCGGGCAAGGTGTTCTGTCCGGGGAGCGGCCAACACTCCGTGTGATAGTTCGGAGATGTTCTATATATACTGTTTATTATTCGGAATGTTGATAGCGTGATTTAGGTATTTCGCTTGTGGCGCGATGACAGCGCCGCCGCATCACCACCCTGCTCAGGCCGGAGGTCGATAGTGCAGTCTCGTTGTCAACGAATGTGCAAGTGCCAGGAGATTGCCTTGTCGTCTGCGTTGAGTTGAGAAGAAGGCAAGTAATCAGCGAGAGTGCCGTGAAGCAGAGGCGAGCAGTGAGGCTCAGAGCCGTGCCAAACACTGTAGCGCAGAGAGTAGCTTGAAGGAACTGGAAGCATTATTATTCCAGTGCTGCGATGAACCTTGTAAAGCTGGATGGCTTGCAGGATATTAAGACTGCAGACAATATCTGCTCGGGAGCGAATGGATGGGGTATTCTTTGACGATGATGAAGCTTGAAGTTTCCGAAGGTTGTTGGTTGCGTGTTTAGATCACGTCGGGGTCACCACTGTGGCCGTGGAAGGAAAAGGGGAGATCTCCCGCCGGGCAACGTGTTCTGCCCGGGGAGCGGCCAACACTCCGTGTGATAGTTCGGAGATGTTCTATATATACTGTTTATGATTCGGAATGTTGATAGCGTGATTTAGGCTTCGGTGTATTTCGCTTGTGGCGCGAGGACAGCACCGCCACACTGGCAACGCATCTGCATTTAAATTCTTAATCCAAGATAGATATAATAGTCTATAGGCCACGGCATCCACTTACCATCAGGTAGATAATGTGATCGATGGTTGCCCTCATTCTTCAAAAGTAAATACAAGATATAACGTTACGTTTTTAAAACCCCTTGATGTGATGTGTACCTTGATTATATTTCTTATACATTGGACAAGGTTTACTTTATTTAAAAAAAACTTGATGTTGGGAAAGGAGCTGGAGCAGATAGTATTCTATCGATATTTGTCTGTAATTTATTTTGAATAGTTATCGGGAAGACGCTGCATAAACTCATCTGTTTCATTTCTCTCTATTGCCTTTGACAACACCCACAACAGATTGCACAAATCAGTTGATATTCTTGCGCGCCTAAGTTGACGTCTGGTACTAGCGCCATCTAGTGTCGGGTAACAGAGCGAGGAGAGCTTTCCAGAAAATGACATGACTAATGCTTCAACAGACAGCGCCATCTAGTATCGAATTGAAGAACTAAGCTTTCTAGAAGCCCTACACTCGAACTTTCGGCGCCTGGTCGATGGGCGCGCTTATTTACTTGAATATTCTGGATGTTTCGGTGAAAAGGAGCAATTTTTATTGTCACGAACCTCAAGCTCGTAACAATATTTTTCACCGGTATAAAATTCAAAATAATGTTGAAGATTTGTTAGATTTGATTGCCTTCGTTTTCATTTTGCCCAGTTTCGACCTT